GGGATAGAAAATGCAAAGCGTTTGGAATCTTGATCATGTAATGGAATAGTGAAAAAACAATCCTTAAGATCTAGGATCAAGATATAATGATCTCGCGGAATGGCACTTGGAGAGGGAATACCAGGTTGCACTGGTCCCATAATCTCCATAGTTGCATTCACTGCCCTAAGGTCCTGTAATAGTCTCCATTTTCCAGACTTCTTTTTGATAACAAAGATGGGAGTATTCCAAGGGGAAGTAGACGGGACTATGTGTCCGACCTGTAGCTGTTCTTCTACTAACATTCTTGCGGCCTCTAACTTCTCTTTCGGCAGGGGCCACTGTGGTACCCACACAGGTGTGTCAGATTTCCAAGTGATAGGAATGGGCATGGGTGGAGGCCTAATCACAGCGGCCCCTAGAAAAAAGGGTAACCGAGCCCTCGTTTATCCCCTGCTTCCCTCGTCACTTCCTGTAGATTAAAAGAGGGAGACCCTTGCTGTTGTTTACCCAAACCTTGTCCAGGCACGTAGCCCTGATTAACCATCATTTGGCCAGCTGGACTATCCGTGACTAAGGAAGCTCCCATCTCCACCAGAACATCTCATCCCCAGAGGTTCATGGGGATTCCAGGAAGGACATAAGGTTGAAATTGCCCACTATGGCCCTCATTGTCTCTCCAGCGGAGCACAATAGTACTCCTGGAAGGATTTTGGGATATTCCCAGACCCTGCAAGGATGTGTAAGCGGTAGCCACAGGCCACTGTGAAGGCCAATGCTCCTTGGATATAATGGAAGTGTCTGCCCCAGTATCCAAAAGGCCCTTAAATGTTCTGCCATTAATTATCAATTCAATTAGAGGCCTCCTATCTAATGTCAGAGCCATATTCACAACGGGGTTACCTGAAGAGCCAAAACCTTCAGCACCGCGAGTTACACGGTGGACTTTTCCGTCACTGGCTAATCTTGGTAATGGTATAATTTGAGCTATTCTGTCACCGGGGGATATAGAGATAACTCCACGAGCAACGGACGCAAGAATCTTAATTTCTCCAGTGTAATCAGTATCAACAAGGCCTGGGATGAACTGCAGGCCTTTAAGGGCACTGGAGCTGCGGCCAATTATTAGCCCCACAATTCCATCGGGGAGAGGACCATACTGGCCCGTAGGTAAACATTGCACTCCCATGTTAGCAGTAAGAACAGTATATGCGGAGACACTCAAATCGAATCCGCCACTTCCTGGAGAGGTGCGGAAGAGGTCAGAGAAAAACTTTGCCTTATTTGGGGATTGCTCTGAACTGCCCCTATAATTGGCTGAGAGGGTCGCCGGGGCTGTGCCCTCCCCCACGCGTTTCCCGGCTGTCCTCCCATACGGGGGTCAGCGGATTTCCCTGATAATCTGTCTTAGACCGACACTCGTTTGCCCAATGATTGTCCTTTCGGCACCGTGGACAAACGCCTGGTTTCTTTTGAGGGTTAGCAATTCGTGGTGCCGTAGCACCCCCGCTCCGCCCCAAAACCGGGCAGGAGGCCTTTATATGCCCTTTCTGACCACAAGCGAAACAGACACGGTTTCGGGGTCCAGTTACTGGACCATGCAAGGCCTGAGCAATCACCGCACCGGTAACTTGCGCTTCACAAATATCTTTACAAAGTCTTACATAATCATCCAAACTAGCCCTAGCTTTCCAGGGTCTAATAGCTTCCTGACACCATTTATTAGCATTCTCAAATGCAAGCTGTTTAACTATTGGTAGGGAGGCATCAGTGTTACCTAGAATTCTGCCAGCTGCAGTCATCAATCTTGCTAGGAACTCCGCATAAGGTTCTGTCGACCCTTGAATGACCTTTGTTAATTGAATGTCGGCTCCTCCTCTATCGCCTATTGCCTTCCAGGCTGACCGTCCAGCTGCTGCAACTTGGGCAAATACAGCCGGATCGTAATCTTTTTGTTGGTCATTACTATCATATTGCCCTTCTCCTGCTAACATATCCTTGTTTCTAACCGGAAATCCAGCCTCAGCATTGAGTTTAGCTGTATAGGTGCAGTTCTCTAAAAATATACCTTTCCATACCAAATAATCCCCTGGGGAAGTCACTGCTCTGACTAGCGCCTTCCAATCATTAGGAGTCGGATTCGTGCCGATCCAGCTATCCAATAAGGTATGCGTAAAAGTGCTCTGGAGGCCATACTGAGTAACTGATTCCTTCAAAGCCTTCAAATCTTTAAAAGATGTGGAGACATGTACTCTAGTACGCACCCCCTGAGGATCTGTCCCTTCCACGACCGGATAAGCATAATTAGGGGCCTGGGAAGCCAGAACTCTTTCCATCATAGAGCACAGTCTTTCCATTAACGGAAGATCAACCCTGTCGAGGGTTCTACAAGGTGACTCCCCAGGTGTTTTCCATCTCCTTTTACGCTTCCCTGCCTTATAACAACTGAGGCCTTTCTCATCCTGTTCCTCGTCTCCTCCCGACTCATCAGTAGAATCATCTGGAGAAGGGGCTGTTGTTATTTTTTGAGTAGAGGAAGGGGGACTTACTGATGTAGAACTCTTAATGGAACTTCTATCTTCTTCCTCCGTTTGTCTCGCTGTCCTTAAGGCCTCAGTGGCTAACTGAGTGGCAACAGTGCCACCGGCATTAAGAGCATCTCCCACCACTCTCCAGACCGTCAAAGTAGTGCCAGGAAGAGACTCAAGGCCATATAATTGCTGATGCAAGACAATATCTCCTTTCACCTTATTCCAATTGTCACTATCGACCTGATCCTGCTTCAGAAACCATTAACTAGTGATACTAAGGGTCTCTACAAATCCTTTAAGAATTTTTCTACTGAGAGGAACCCCAAACTCTTTTAGAAGAGCTTCCAGGGAAATAACTAACTGCCCCTTGGACATTGAATTGCCCATGGTCCCAGCTACCTTACCTTACTTTACTTTACTTGCCGGCTCACCACAGCTGGTCCTTCAGCGGTTCCTTCGTTCTTTTTCGTGCCCCACGTTGGGCGCCACCTGTCCCGACCCGCGGGATTCGGAGGCACGGAAAGAGAAGGGCTGAGGATTGAAATGAGGGGCTTGACAAATTGACACTAGCGTTTGCTTCTTTATTTTTCCTTTTTCCTTTTCCTACTTTTACATGTGTTTTCCTTTCCCTGTCCTACTACCTTCCCTGGCTTTCTCTATGCTCCTCTCTCAGTACGTTTCTCAGTATCCTCTCTCAAAGTCTCTACACAGTATCCTTTCCACAGTCTCCTTCTCGAGGTCTCCTCGCCTCATCCTCTACGCAGTCTCTCTCCTTCTCCTCTACGCAGTCTCTCTCCTTCTCCTCTACGCAGTCTCTCTCCTTCTCCTCTACGCAGTCTCTCTCCTTCTCCTCTACGCAGTCTCTCTCCTTCTCCTCTACGCAGTCTCTCTCCTTCTCCTCTGGTTCCCTTCTTATCCCCCCTCGCTCCTCCCCTCGTACCTCTCAGTCCCACGTGATTTTTCGGAAACGCAGTGGTTTCTCCGAAGGCGAAATAGAAATCGAAACCTAACTTGCGAGCATGCGCAACACGGCACATGCTCCATGAGGCTCCGGACAGGTAAATATATGTTTTTAAAACAATAACATACTGATAATAAAGACCAGATGGATGTTGTTTGAAAATTTTCAAATTGAAAAATTCCTTGAAGATAAGCAGAAGTCATAGTGTATATATTCCTAAACTGGAAGTGACACACTAGTTTATTAATCTCTAAACTGAGCGCAATCCTGGACTGTAAAATGGATACATAATGATGGCATATTAATAGAATGGAGCCATATACAGAGAGGAAATTCTGCTGCAGTCTAAAATATGCATCAATGTTCCAAACAAAATGTGAAGCAAAAGAAGTCAGACTAAAAATATACTCGGCAGTCTCGCTGCTGTAGTATGAAACCAGTCCCAACTGTCCTGTGCTGTTAGAAGTGAAGGTAGTGTTAACCCTGAGGGTGGGTTTCAGTGGAAGGGGCATTCTGAGCACTGTTTCTTATTTTGGCTGCCAGCTTCATAGAATGTTAGGCTTGTGAGAGTCCACTGGGACATGTGATCTTTTAAAGGTACAAAATTGAAATGATAACTCTCACGTCATAGTATTATTTTGTAGTTTAAATTAAAAACCCATTCGAATAAGAACTCATGAAGGGGGTCATTTTAATCTTTATTTTTTTGTTGTTGTTGCTTTATACCCAAAACTAGAAAATGACCTAGTATAGAATGAACACTCAAAAAAGTTTTCATAAATGAATGACAATATAGCACAAAGCTTATTTTAATCACTTGCCACAAAATACAACTCTCTAAATAGTAGACATAGCTACTAATATCCTATCATTACTCGAGACATTTAAGATCGTTGTTCTCTTTAATCCGTACAACATACATAGCACCATATGCATATGTATTAAAATATATATATATGATATTGGTTTATGTCATTATATAGATTTCAGGTGTACAACATTATAATGTGACATCTGTATATGCTACATTGTAAACCCATCAAAATCTCCACCACCATACAGTTGACCCCCTTGATTCATTTTCCCCCATCTCCTTTCCTTCTGGTAACCACCATCCTGTTGTCAGAATCAAGAGGTTTGTTTTATTTGACATGGTCATATTTTAACAACAGTTATCCATTATCTCATGTTCCTAAGTTCATCTTTTCATTTGATCAATAGTGGTAAAGAAATCAATGGCCACAAGTGAACTTTACTCTGTGGACTTATAATTGAAAATTAGAGTTAAAATGTTACTCTTTTCATGTAGTTTGAGTTAATTATTATGCTTCTGCCCTTATGGGTTATCAATTTCCTATTTACCTCTGGCATGATCAATATTGTAAGTTAACATAGTTTTGTTATGTTAGTACTATACAAAATATTTTGAATGAAATATACAGCTTGTGACAAAGAGACTTGGATGTTGTAAATAATTAACTTTTTCTTCAAGAGAAGTGTTGTGTAATTAATGAGGAACCCCTACTGCTTTAAAATTGTTAGTCTTTATTAAGCATGCCATTGAAGATGAGGTCAAAAGACTTGGCTTTTATCATCTTGTTAATCATATCAGGAGAACTCAATGCAGAAGGTAAAAATAATTCTTACTCTTATTTATTATCTAAAAAATATAAAGGAAATCTCTAAAATTAATTGAATTTGGATTTTTAATATATGCTCTCAGTTGGGAACATCAATATTACTAAAAAATATTTCTTATAAATATAATTTTAATACTTAGATATTTCCCTTTGGGCAAAACTAGCAAAGTATTCTTCTAGTAACATAAGACAATACACCCTTTGTATATCTGGATTTGGGGGGATAAAAGAACAGTATCTAAATACCTTAAGGGGTTTTCAGGTTAACAACATGGTCATTTAGAAGTTGTATGTTAACCTTAATTCTAATTGCACACTGGAAGCCACTCCTAGCACTACAAAGTTGTGCAATTTTAATTCTGTTTACATAAAGTGAGAACTTAAAGTGGAAAATTTGAAAAATAAGAAGTAACTGTAAATCTTCAGCAAGATTGTCAACTGTCAAAAAAATTTTGATTTTTATCCTAATGCTTTATTCATTGATTGAAGTCATGAAGTTGTAATAAGTAAGAGGACTATATAATTGACTATGCAAATGAGGACACTTTGGGAGTGAAAGGAGGCTCTATTAATAAATATGTGGCCAACACATTTAAACCAGGACTGTCCAGACAAACCAAAACCTGCGGACTCTATAAAAAATCTTCATAACCACACAGCCTCGAGTGTGAGTTACTGTGAACATGAGGCAGACAGTGGATGTGTATGGGAGGACAGTGATGAGCATTATTAGTTTATAGGGACAAGAAACCAGTCAGGTTATGAAATGTCCACAGATGTAGGAAACAAAGCAAAATTACTTGAAAAAATAGACACCTTAGGGAATTTGTTTAAAGGAAACATCCTCCAGATTACAACTGACTTTTTTTTTTTTTAAGATTTATTTATTTATTTATACAAGTACTGGGTACAGTCAGAAGCATGGGAGGGTGAGAGAATTCATCAGAACCAGAGTGGGGAGCAGGGCAGGCAGACTGACCAAACACATTGCTGAGGGGAGCAGCAGGCATGGCAGGAGGGGTCTGCGCGCCATGTGGGACCCTTGCTGGCGGCCGGGGATTGAACCGGTGCTACAGAGGCTGCGGGCAGCTTCGCAGCCCAGTGCTCAACCGCTGCGCCACCGGGGAGGCCCTATAATTGACTTTTAGCTGAACAGTTTACTACAAATTTTCTACTGAAAAAGAAGATAAACTATAATTAAAGTGATGAAAGTGAAGATACATGAATTCACTTTAATGCATCTAATTATAAATAAGGGAATATTTACATAGTTTTCTTTGGTTTTCTTTTCCTGTCTAAATAGGGGGAAACCACCTGATAAAGTTATTATATGTCTCATGAAGACACTGAAATAATCAAGCTAATTTTCTAATTATATGGTTGTAAGCTTGGTCCACAAAAAAGCCAATTGCTTAAAGACAGAGGCTATGATCTCATGTACTTTTGCCCACCCCTACTGGGTGTCTTGGGGCAACAATGAAGTTAATTTTACTTGTCACTTCAGAGGATTGGCCTATGAAGGGTGCTACTTTTCCTTTATGTATATATATACCCCTTTAGCCCTGATTCTGGATTTCGTTCCCCTAGAACCAAACTGGGACGTGCATTTGATGTATTATTAAATATTTAAATACTTCTGTTAATTATGTCTCGTTTGCATGTTTTTCATAGATGAAACATGACCACAGATTTTACTGCCTTATCGCTATTCAGCTCCATGTTGCTGAATCTAGTTTGTTGTTGTTTAAGGACTACATAGTGTTCATATGTTTTACTTATCCAGTCTTCTAATGATGGACACTTTGTTACCTCTAACATCCTCCTGGACAGAAATAAGTGAAATAAATGCTGTCATATAATCATTTTATTTCTCTGTGACAATTTCTTAAATCTATATACACTCATATGTGTGATTACTGGACAATTTTTTCCTTGATTTTATAACTTACATAATCATTATTTCCCTTTGCTTCATGTCTTTTTATCACTCATTGGTGGAAACTCTATGTGGGGTATACAGTTCAGCATCTTGTTGATTTGGGACATTTCAAACTCCTTCCTCCAGAATAATAAGTGTGTGCATTGTCAGCAGTGCTTCTCACTGAGAGAAATCATTTATTTTGATGTTACCAACTTTTGTCTAGAAATTTTTTGGAGGAAGGCATTCCTGCCTCTTCTCATGAACTGCTTTCCTATTGCTTTATGGTATTTCTGGATCCTTGAATATGGTCTCTGTGGCTTCTCTGCACCCCTCTCTGCTGTTCACTGTAGTCCTCACATCTGAGCTTCCAGTAGCTTCTGAGCAGCTGCAGTTAGAAGCAGTGTTTTCTCCAATGTCTTGGAACAGGCACATCTCTTGCCTCAGATTCCTGCCATCCACACCCTCAATGCTTCCTCACCCTCTTCCCCTAATCTGCCACTCTGGGCAGCAGAGATGGAGTGCAGGGCCGCTGGTGGAGGTGATTGGAAGGTACAAACTTCCCATTATAGGATAAATACATTAAAAGTATGTAATATAGAGCATAGTTACTATAGTTAATAATACTGTGTTTTTGAAAGTTGCAAAGAGTAGAACTTAAAAGTTCTCATCACAGCAAAAATTAGTAAGTATATGAGATGACTCATGTTAACTAGACATATTGGAGTGAACTTTTCACAATATACACAAACATCAAAACATGTTGTGTGCCTGAAACTAATGCAATGTTTATGTCAGTGATGTCCTAATAAGTATATTACATTAAGCATATATAATATTCACTCACTTGTGTCTGGCTTGTTTTATCATGTAATATGTTTGTGAGATTCAGCATTTAGCATTTGTGCTGCTGTTTAGTATTCCATTTATGCATAGTCTCAAATGTATTCATCTTTTCCACCATTAATGGGCATTTGGATTGCTTCCATTTGGGACCTGAATGAAAGTGCTGCATTAATCATTTTTTCTTTACATGTTCCTGAGCACACAGATAGATATATGCTTTTCTGATATGCTGTGTGCATATTGTGTTCCAGTAGATTGTGCAAAACTATCTTGTCATGAGAGGTTGTAGCAATTCATACTCTTACTGGAGTCACGAGAGTTCTGATTTCTCCGCAACTTCAACACTCATTATGACCATCTGTCTTTTCATGTTAGTCATTCTAGGGCATGTGTAGTTGTAGCCATGGTGGTTTAAATTTGCATTTCACTTTTGACTCACAAAGTTGAATACTTTTTACTATGTCTCTATCCATTTAAATATTCTGATTTGTAAAATTCTTGCTCAATCCTTTTATTTTTTTAACTGACAAAGCAAAAACCATTTATTTCAAAATTTTGTAAGTTTGCATATCTTTAGAGAATTTCATCTATTTTAGAATACTCCTGTCCAATAGAGTGGCTACCAGCCACATATGACTATTGAACTGTGCCTGTGCCAAATTTGGTATGTGTTATAGGAGCCAATAGACACTGGATTTCAGACTTCATAAGAAAAAAAAGTAAAATTTTAAAATATATATTATGTCAAGTAAAACCTATCATTAAAAATAAATTTCACACACCTATTTATTGATGTGGCTACTAGAAATTTCACAATTACATATGTGACTTTGTATTATATCTCTATCAGAATGCGCTGTTTATAAAAGGTAGGGAAAGAGCTCCTGATAAAATAGTGGCCTGCTTAGTTTTACATGATTTTGTCGGGGTTGCTAGTCTATTAATTCTGATTGAAAAAGATTGTCACAAAAGTACATTAAACATTTGGGTAATAAATAAATACTAGTTAAAGTGTCTGCAAACACTTTCAATTTAAAAATATATTGTTTGATCACAAATGTCAAAGTTTTAGATATGTTTTGTTTTCAACTTGATATTTACTTATTTCAGAGAAACCATGTGGTCTTCCTCACTTGGAAAATGGAAGTTTTGCCCAATATTACTATACTTTCAAAAATTATTACTTTCCAATGAGCATAGGTAAAAAAATATCATATTCCTGCTTGCCTGGTTATACAACCAAAACTGGTAAACAAGAGGAGAAAACCACATGTACGGCAGGAGGCTGGTCTCCAGAACCAAGTTGCTTCAGTAAGTTGCTGGGATGTGATGTCATTGTATGTTTATAAAGATCCAATAAAAACTGACAAATGGTTAAACATTTTGATACATAAAAACAAAATTACTGGTGCACTGTCATTTTATTTCAGCAGGAATTAAATTCTGAAATTAAATGGTATTTCTCACTAAAATGTTTCTTTCCCAACTGGCTCTTAATGAAACCTTGTGAAGAAAATAAGGATAATAATTAAAATTATTTATTAGATGTAAAGAAGAGGTACAATTGAGTTATTTTAAGTAGAGGAATTTATACAGATAATGTTGCACAGGAAGCTAGAAAAATGCTTGATCCTGGGCTCAGGAAGAACTAGATTGTTGCTCTAGTGTTTTATCATTTGAAAGACTTCTTCCCATTGTATGCCAACTTCTTTTCTCATAACATCCTTTTGAATTTTTTTTAAATTTTGTGTTGAACTTTGTGAAAAGGAAATCTGATTGGTTTATCTCTTTATTTTGTGTCAGGCTATGCTAAAGTCAATCAATGGATTTATGTTGGGTCAGGTGATCTTACCTGAGTGGAGAATTTCCTGAGTTCTTGTTTGCAGAGCAAGGGGCTTTGGTCAATTTAGAAGAGAAAGTTGGGTCTATGGTCTATTCTTCCAGGACAGACTATAAATTTGAGCTTTGCACTTTAGTGTTAGCACAGGCTAATACTAACATTTATTTTAATAAATAAATATCATTTATAATTAGAGCATAAAAATAAATTAAACATCTTAGCTTTACTAACTCTTTGAGATCAGAAGTAATGTAACCAGTGGCTGAAGCCAAAGACTGTTATAGGTGACACTCCTGGAGGAGGCTGCTGGTGAGGTAAGAGAGTTGAAACAGGAGGCACAAGAAAAGTGAGGGTCAGTGCCATAGTGTAATGGTTAAGATACAAGTCAGATTGTGCCTGTAAATCCTGCTTCACCAGTGCTGAGTGACTTTAACATTCTTAGCCAGTTTCTTATCTATAAAATGGCAATAATGTTTTTATGAGAAACAACTTGTAAAGTATCATCACACAGCAAGTATGAAACATTTAAATTAATATCTTTGGGCAAGTCTTTTTAACTTTTTTAAGTTGGTTTGTTAAGAGGGTCTAATAATGGGACTTGAATAATGGAGCTCTATACAATGCTAAGGTAAATTTATTGGCTGAAACATTACTGTTGCAAATATTTAGAATAACTCTATACAGGTTTTGAGTAACATGTCTATACTCAGTTACAATCTATATGAACTGACTATCGAGACTTATTACAAAGCTAAATGGTCATTTGCTGAAAATAAAGGAATAAAATTTTCATATTAAGATTTCTGCAGAATTGTTTAAGGATCAACGAAGTAGATACATGCTTTTGCTACATGGTAAGTCTACTGTGTTATCAAACACAGTATTTGAAAGTAAATCCAAATGGGATTCCTCCTATTGACCATGAATGACAATCAGCTGGTGGAAGAACTCTAGATATTTTTTCTAAAAGTAGAGGTGGTAAGAAAAATACCGGATGGTCTCACTCATAGAAGGAATTTAGAAAACCTAAATAAGAGACCAGGAAAAAGACCAATCAACACAAAATAAAAATCAAAATCAACAAGCAACTATAAACCAGAGACACTGGGTGGGAGGGGGGAGGGGGAGAGGGGAACGGAAGGCCTAGAGTCAAAATAAGGGGGGAGGTGCAATTTTATGGGGAATATAACCAAAACGAAAATGCATACATTGTGCAAAGATGAAAAAAGATGTAAGAATTATATAAAATAAAATAAATAAAAATTAATTAAATAAATCAACTGCATAGACCAGTAAAAAATAAATAAATAAATAAAAGCAGAGGTGGTGAGGGTAAAATAATGATGAAAATAAAATTAGTAATACAAAGAATTTCATTGTCAAGTGATACCAGTTTTTAGAACAACTTCTTGCAGAACATGGAGGATATTTCCAAAATTGCATTAAATCAAAGAATTATGGAGTAAAAGTTTTTCTTTCTTTCAACTTCCAAGGAGAATATTAATGTTTGCTTTAGTTTTACAATGTAGTAAGGACAAGTTTAATTTCATCAAGGTAAGCAAAGAAATATTTTTCTCCATAGAAAAATGCACTAAACCTGACTTGAGAAATGGTTACATTGCTGATGCAAAGTCATTGTACACATTTCAAGAAAGTATGCGCTATGGCTGTACATCAGGGTACAAAACCACGGGAGGGCAGGATGAAGAAGTGGTTCAGTGTCTCCCTGATGGATGGTCTTCTCAACCCACCTGCAGAAAGGAGCATGGTATGTGTTTAAGACTCATTTCATAAAAATGAAGTTAAGTGTTTGCCAGGCTAGCGTATTTTTAGATTTATGGATATTTTTACTACTATAATTGATTTTTCATTATGTCTGCAAATGCAAGCAGTTTATAGATGTTTCCTGAATTCAAACATTCTTTTTTATATTATTTATTTGAGGGAAACTTGATTTCCATCACAGTATATGATTTAGAGGAATAGGCCTCCTCAGAGGTACTTCACGATACCCACCCACCCCAGAGCACTCTTATCCTCTTTATGGCGTACCATTGGGCCTTTCCCCACTTTGTTCCCACCCTTTCCCCTCTAGTAACCTCAATTCTGCAGTCATTTCTAGAATTTTTTTTTTTGCTTTAATTCTGACAGTTCCTTTGTTTTGTTTCTTTATACTCCATTTATGAGTGAAATCACATGGTATTTGTCTTTCACTCTCTGGTTTATGTCACTTATCATAATGCCCTGGAATTCCATCTATCTTGTTGCAGATGGCAGGAGTCTTCCTGTTTGTTTTTAAAGCTGAATAGTATTCCATCTGTGTATGTACTATATCTTCTTAATCCAGTCATTTGTCCTTAGGCACTTAAGTTACTTTCATAACTTAGCTGTTATGTCTTCATTGTAACACTATTTATAATAGCTAAGTTATATAAGGTATATATATTTATATATACATCATATGTAATTATTACTGCCTATATAATATATATATTAGGTATATATGATATATTTATTTGGTATATATAAAATATATATATATATATGACTCCCTTCACTTTAGTTTTTGTATTCTTTGAATAAATGTAGAATGTAGGTGTAGAATTACTGAACCACACATTTTTAATATTTTGAGAAAACTCCACATTGTTTTTCATAGAGACTAAACCAGTCTGCATTCCCACCAGCAGCATTTAGAGATTTCCTTTTTCTCCACACCCTCTCCAACATTAGTTAGTTCTTTTTTTTGTTTTTGTTTTTGTTTTTAATATGGGCCAATTCACTGGAGTGAGGTGGTGTCACATTGTGGTTTTGATTTGCACTTCCCTGATGATAAGTCATGTTGAACATTTTTTTCACTTGCCTGTTGGCCATCTGTATGTATTCTTTGGAGAAGTGTCTATTTAGTTTTTTTGCCCACTGATTAATTGAGTTCTTTATCCTCCTTTTATCAAGTTTTATGAGGCTTTTTGTACATCTTGGAGACTAGTCCCTTGCTGCATATATGATGTACAGATATTTTCTCACAGTCAGTTGGATGTCTTTTGTTTTATTTATAGTTTCTTTTGCTATGCAGAAACTTTTTAGTTAATTCAAACATTCTAAACTCACACGCTAACTCCAGCATTTTATAATAATGAAAAAAATTGGGGTAGAATAATACAAAAGAATCATATATATATATATATATATATATATATATATATTATTTATTTATTTATTTATACAAGCCCTGGGTACAGTCAGAAGCATGGGAGGGTGAGAGAATTCACCAGAGCCAGAGCAGGGAACAGAACAGGCAGACTGACGAAATACACTGCTGAGGAGAGCAGCGGGCATGACAGGAGAGGTCTGTCGCACCATGTGGGACCCTTGCTGGCGGCCCAGGATCGAATCGGTGCGGCAGAGGCTGTGGCCAGCTTTGCAGCCCAGAGCTCAACTGCTGCACCACCAGGGGAGGCCCAATAAGAAAGAATCTTAATATACCTGTTTCTCTCAAAATAAATTTGCTATTTCCTTTACTGGAGAAGAAATTGGGATAATACACATTGTTTTATATTGTAAACCAATATCAAATACAGTAAAAATTAGCCAGTAATTTGAATATTTACATTCTAATGGTTGTACACTGTTAAAATCATATAAATTCACAGGTGACATATAATCCAAAAATTGTTATTGCATAAAACTTCAGTTTAATGGTGGTCTTTGGTCAAGTACACTAGATTAGAATTTTAAGAATAAAAGACTTGTGGCATTAGGACACAAGATGTATGAGAAAAGGGAATAGAGATGCAAAACTTGGTTCATATAATTTTAAGATTCAGGGAAAATAAATTTGAGATTTTTTTAAATCACAAAATAAATAACTATAATATTTTTTAGAAACATGTTTGGCCCCTGACTTACATCATGGAACTTACTCCACAACACAGAAAACATTTAAAGTGAAGGACAAATTACAGTATGAATGTGCTACTGGCTATTACACAGCTGGAGGGAAGAAGACAGAAGAGGTGGAATGTCGCACGCATGGATGGTCTCTCACACCGAAATGTACCAGTAGGTGCTCACTTGGAAGACAACCTTATCCCACTCAGTAAACTTCTTTTCATATATAAACCCATAAAATTGTCATTCTAACTATGTTGCATTTTACATAGTTCTTTTTTGCCTCTGGTTTTAATTATGTAGGTAGCAGGCTTTCATCATTTAAAACTCTTGAAGAGCCAAATTCCTTTTAGTTCAGATATTGAAATAAGGCTAATGTTATTTAATTACTATACAAATTAACACTCTTTTCTTGTTCATAACAAAATATGGCAAATCTATCATTTTATTGCTTATACAGTAAATAAGTAGTAGATGAATATTGTTCTAGTAGAAAGAATAACACCTCTTTGTTTTTTTCCAATTTTTAGAGTTAAGATGCTCTTCTTTAAGATTAATAGAAAATGGTTATTTTCATCCTCTTAAGGAAACCTATGAAGAAGGAGATGTAGTTCAATTTTTCTGTCATGAAAATTATTATCTAAGTGGATCAGATTTAATTCAGTGCTATAACTTTGGTTGGTATCCAAAATCTCCTGTATGTGAAGGTAATTTTTGAAATTTCTGATACATAAAAAGAGATATCATGTTTTAATCTCTATAAACTTTAAAAAAATGTCTGTGGTGATATCTAATTCTTGTCTTTAGTACTATCTTTTAAAATAACTATTTTCTTTTAAATCAGTGCTATTTTCAGTAATATATCTTTTAAACTTATTTTTAAATTTCTTATCATGAATTTTAAAACTCATTATAATGAATAACTTTTTAATTGGAGATTAATAGATTCAGCTATCCCTACCTGCCAGCTTTGTTGAGGTGCTATCTTATTTGGCCATACATTTTCTTTTTTTTTTTTTAAAGATTTATTTTATTTATACAAGAGCCAGGGTACAGGACAGATGCACGGAAGGGTGAGAGGATTCATCAGAGACAGAGCAGGGAACAGAACATGCAGAATGATGAAACACACTGCTGAGGGGAACAGCTGGAGAGACAAGAGAGGTCTGCTCACCTGACCATACATTTTCTAATGTGAGAACGTAGTCTCCAAAATAATGGGGTAGAGAGCAGAAAATGCAGCTAAATATGAATGAAAATGAATCAAAATGCAAAGCAAGTTTATCTAATTAGAGCTATCCTAGAATGCAATGGCTATTTATGGTCAAGTTTCTTCTTCTGCAGTTGGTAAGACTACCTCTTCGAAGACATCGGTTTAAGAGTCATTCAAACATACCACAATGTAATATGAAGGGGATCTTAGTGTAGCTATTAAACATGTTAAAAAATTAATTGGGGGGCCTCCCTGGTGGCGCAGCGGTTGAGCGCTGGGTTGCGAAGCTGCCCGCAGCCTCTGCAGCGCTGGTTTGATCCCCGGCTGCTCCCCGGCCACCGGAGGAGGGTCCCATATGGCTCGCAGACCAATCCTGCTGCCCTCTGCTCCCCTCAGCAGTGTACTTCGGTCCTTCTGCCTGCTCTGCTCCCCGCTCTGGCTCTGGTGAATTTTCTCACCCTCCCGCGCTTCTGACTGTACCCAGTGCTTGTATAAATAAATAAATAAATAAATATTTAAAAAAAAATTAATTGGGGCCTCCCTGGTGACGCAAGGGGTTCAGCACTAAGAAGCTATCACAGCTACTGCAGCACGAGTTTTTTCCCAGGACAGAGAGGTGACCCACATGGTGCAGCAGACCTCTCCTGTCTTGCCCACTGCTTCCCTCAACAGTGTATTTCAGTCAGTGTCCCTGCTCTGTTCCCTACTTCATCTCTGGTGAATCGTCTCACCCCTGCATTTCTGGTCTGTACACCAGTTCTTGTATGCATAAATAAATAAATCTTTAAAAATGTTAATTGGTAACTATGTGACATAAATACATATATACTGTGATAAAATTAGGTGCAAAGTGTATGAACAAACATTGTTCTAATTGGTATGGTGAGAAATAGCATTTACAGAGGTGATGGTTAATATGTGAACTGAGCCTGAAAAGAGAAATAGGAATTTGAAGATTGGAAGGGTTGGGAGTGGTAAAGGACTTGATAGCTTCTATTTTCTCTGTATGATAATTCATGTCATTATTGATAGAAGGGAGAAGGACAGCAAGGTCGAACTTGAAAGAGAGTGGTGGAGATTTGAAATAGGTGCTAGGAGGAATAAGAACAGGAACTGGACCAAGAACATGAATGGGAGTGCCCAAAACTATCACAATTCATTAAATGCACCAAACAATAACTTTATTTTTAAATTTTCTGTTGTGCTCGATAGTTTTGTTCTGACTGAGGAGAGGAAGATTGTTAGCTTAGAGTCTGTAGCATGTTATTTAAAAAATCTATGGCAGACCAACTTAACTCTATTTTGTTCCCATCCCCACTCAGATTAGTCAGCATGCCAATGACTTGCTGTTTTCTCCAGTAAACAGTCAGCAGGTGTAGGACAGGCAGTGTAGTAAGCTGAATAAAGTTCCTCTCTGCCATCCCTTCCCTCTAGCAAAGAGAGCCATATCCTTATCCTTGGAATGAGCCTATTTGGCAAAAGGGACTTTTCAGATGTGATTAACTGAAGGATTTTGGGGTGGAAATACTACCTGGAAAAATCCTGATGAATAATCACAAGTGTCCTTATAGAAGGGAGATTTGATGATAGAAGCAAGAGACTGGAGTAGTAGGAGAAAGGGCCGTGTGCAAGGAATGCAGGCAGCTTCCGGAAGTTGGACAAGGCAGAGTAGCTGATTCTCTCATCAAGCTCCAGGACTGCAGCATCCCTGACAACTTGGCTTTAGCCCTGGTGAAACTGTTCTGGACATTGGCTTCCAGAGATGCCAGAATAAATTTGTGCTGTTTTAAACCAATAAATTACGGTCATTTGTCATACCAGTAAAAGAAAACTAACATAGTCAATGTTGTACAATAGCTAAGAGCAGTAGATTTTAATTCAAATTGACATCCATTCAAGAGCAGATCCTCCACTTACTAAGTTACTTCATATGTTTTAGTTCATTTATAATATGAGAGACATGCATAATACTCCCCACTTAATAGTTATTTTAGGAATAAAGGAGATATGTATGTAAAGTGTTTGCTGTTTCCGTTTTTTGTTGGAGCATAGCGATGTTACTAAATGTTTAGAGCTTAAAATGAGACATTTGTACTATTTTACAGTTGGAACAGGAACTCCTTTTCCTGTGAGTCAGGATTCTGGAGCATAGCAGAAATGGGTCCTTTGTATTTGTGTCTATTAAAACTACAGTCTAGGTGTTGGCTGGGACTGCAGCCTCATCTGAAGCTCAACTGGAGACCAAATCTGCTTCCATACTCATTCTAGGCAGCATTCAGAGCTTTGCAGATTGCTGAATGGAAGGGCCCTCTGCCCTTTGTCACATGGTTTTCCCTGTTTGGAAGCACACATGGGGAAGTTTTCTTCTTTTTAAAATCAGCAGTGAGAAAGAGTCACTCAGTAAGAATGGGGTTACAATATCTTGTTGCATAACCACACTCAGATAATCACATATATCTCATAACCTTTGCTGCATCCTATTGGTTAAATGCATATGGCCGTCCCTGCTCATGGAGATATTTACCACCTGAGACAGTGAACCTAAGTTGTGGGGGACCAAGGAGGTGACCCCGCAGTCTGTCTGCCATACTTCTTGTGCCACTTGGCATGATGAACATGCTAATTAAACCTTACTTTCCATTTTGGGGGTAATTTTATGACAAAATATGCTGGATTTCTCTTTTCATTAGGAAGAAGAAGTCGATGTCCTCCTCCCCCTCTGCCTCTAAACTCCAAGATTCAAACATATTCAACAACTTATCGTCATGGAGAAATAGTTCGTGTAGAATGTGAACTTAATTTTGAGATACAAGGATCAGAAGAAATACGTTGTGAGAATGGAAAATGGACAGAACCTCCCAAATGCGTTGGTTAGCAATGCCTCAAATAAGCTTTCCCTCAAATGAGATCTGCCGGTATTGATAACTACTCTCTTCTTTTTAAATTGTCCCTTTCCAGAAGAAACGGAGAAGATAGCTTGTGAAGAACCACCCTTCATTAGGAATGGGGCAGCAAACCTAAACTCTAAGATTTACTACAGTGGGGATAAAGTGACATATGGATGTGAACGTGGCTATTATCTCCGTGGATCAAAAGAAATCACTTGTAGACGTGGAAAATGGACACTTGCCCCTGAGTGTGTTGGTGTGTTGCTGCATTTGACATCAATAGCTTAGCCCGTTGTGTAAAAATTTCCTTTATCCTCATTTAATCCATAGAGTGGTGACTGTTTAGAAGATTTAGGAACACATCGACACTATACCTACTTTGTTATGTTTTCTGTCTTTGGAACCATCTATAGAATGTAAGCCAATAAAAATAATTAGGAAACAAAAAACCGAAGGGCACAACCAGGTTGTGCCACCCTGCCTGAGTACTGTCTTCCTGTCATCCTTCTCACTGCGGGATCAGATCCCGGAGAGCGCTCCATGAATGTACTTACCTGGGATATTTGTTGTGTAACAAAAAAGCTATTAAGGTTGTTAAGAAATTAGCAGAGTAAGATAAAGACTTTTAAAAGACAGAAAAGCATGGAATATTTAATCTAAAGATTGAGACCCAAGATGAAAGAGAATGAGAAGGAAAATTGTAAAAATGGATAGTGACAAAAGACAGTTTCAGGACTGACTAAAATCTTTATGCTAAAGAGCACTGTTTCTCTTTCTATCAATTTTAAGAACGTCTACGTTCTAATTTGTTCACAATCAAGAAAAGTGTAAAATAAAAAACTTGCTCTTACAAAAATATTTGCTTTCCATTCTTTCCTAGTTTATTTTTTTTTAAATATTTCATTTGAATCATTTCTCTCATTTCTGGTGAATTTAGGAATTATCTGAAATTGTACAGTACAAATATTGAGGTATTATAGTGTAGGTGACAATATATGATTCTATTGTTATAAGTTCATGTAATTTTAAAATACCTTTTTTTCTATAGAAAACAATGAAAATTGTAATCCTCCACCTGCTGTAATAAATGGGGCTGTGGTTGATGGATTATTGCCAAGCTACATGTCAGGATCTTCAGTGGAATATAGATGCAACGAATATTACTTATTGAAGGGAGCAAAAATTTCTCATTGTGAACAAGGAAAATGGTCATCTCCACCTATTTGTTTAGGTAAGATACTATAAAAGTCTTTTCCAGCTTTTTGAGATGTAACTGACATGTAACATTGCTTTAAGGTTCCCATGTAATGATTTGATTCATGCCTATATAGCAAAATGATCAACAAGATAAAGTTAGGAAACACATACTCTACCTCACGTACTTACTAACTTTTGTGCTGTTTTAATCAGGAGATTTAAAATCTACTCTTAGCAACTTTTAAGTAGAAAAATTAATATTGTTTATTGTATTCACCATGCTGTCCATATTAGGTCCTCAGGACTGAGTCCTCTTTTTTTTTTTATAGAGGCATGTTTTTTTTTATTTTATTTATTTATTTGTTTGTTTGGTTTTGTTTATACATGCACTGGGTACAGTCAGAAGTGCGGGAGGGTGAGAGAATTCACCAGAGCCAGAGCAGGAAGCAGAGCAGGCAGAAGGACTAAAGTACACTGCTGAGGGGAGCAGGGGGCGGCAGGAGAGGTCTGTGCACCATGTGGGACCCTCCCAGCCCTCAACCGCTGAGCCACCTGGGAGGCCCAGGACTGATTCCTCTTATACCAAAATACATTGAATTTCTTTTGCCATTGTGTTTGTGTTTGTATTTAATCTTAATTTTATTGTAATGTTTTATAGCATGGAAATGATGATTGTTTAAGAGATTTATTTATTTTTATTTATTTATTTATTTTTAAGATTTATTTATTTATTTATTTATTTATTTATGCAAGCTCTGGGTATAGTCAGAAGCGCAGGAGGGTGAGAGAATTCACCAGAGCCAGAGCGGGGAGCAGAGCAGGCAGAAGGACCGAAGTACACTGCTGAGGGGAGCAGCGGGCGGCAGGAGAGGTCTGCGCGCCATGTGGGACCCTCCTCAGCAGAGGCTTTGGGCAGCTTCGCAACCCAGCGCTCAACCGCTGCGCCACGGGGGAGGCCCGATTTATTTTTTTTTATGTTATGTATGCAAGACCTGAGGTGTCAGCCAGAGGTGCAGGGGGTGGGGTGAGGGGGATGGAGATTGGTGAGAGGATTCACCAGAGACAGAGTAGGGAGCAGAACAGGCAGATTGACTGAAATACACTCTTGAGGGGAATAGCGGGGGAGATAGGAAAGGACTACTGCACCCTGTGGGTTATCACCCTGCCTCAGGGATTGAACTCATGCTGCAGTGGTTGCAAATAGTTTCATAGTGCTGAGATTTAACTCCTTGCACCACCAGGAAGGCCCCAGAAATGATGACTTTTAAATGTCTTTTTTCTCCTCAAGTGTTTCTCCTCATTTTTGTAAGCAGAAAACCCTTACTGTCTTAGAGTCAGGACTACATTGATTCTGAACACACCACTATTTTAAAAACTCTGATGACATGTGAATAACAAAACTTTACCATTTTAACCATTTTCAGTGTGCATTTCAGTGGTGGTAAGCATATTCACATTCTCATTCATGACTGATTAATTTTGGTGTTGTCTTTGTTCTAAATGAAACTTCCCTTACTATCATCCTCAGTCTCTGTATTATTTGCAGAATGTCATTGGGAGAGAAGAATAATTAATTCTATTCTGTCATTAGCATGTTGTTGATCTCTTTCTTTAACACTGATTTCCTCATGTCATTATCACCTTTGAAAATCTTGTTGAGCAAATAAAAATATTCTTGTAGCTACTCAAAATATATTTTGGATTAAAGAATGATTGTAATAAACATTTAGTTTCAAGTGGAGAATTGCAGCAGCTGCCTAAATAACTGCCAAAAATAGATAAATTTGAAAAAAATAACATTCACCACAAACTTCAATTCTTTACTTCATTTTTAACTTTGCCAGTAAGAGTTATATTTAAAAGTAATGCCACTGATCATTGTAGTTACAATGAACTTGTTACATCAAACTTTCAGAGAGGCAATGATATGATGAACATCTTATAAATTAAGTCATTTAATTAAAATATTAGCCTTTTAAACTACAAAATCGGTCATTGTTATTTACCAAATAACATTAATAAGTGTATAGAAGCAACAACTAGAAGAAAACAGAAAATATCAGCAACCTTAAAAAAATGCCTTAAATAAAAGACTCAGATAATGGTTTCCTACCCCTTCATATTCATACACACACACACACACACACACACACACACACACACTCACTCACAAAACATGCTATTGTGAAATCCTACCCCTTTTTTTCACTTAAACTATATTATGAACATGATTTGCTATTCTTCAACAATATATATTTTAATGATTATATACTGTTACATAGTGAAGTATTACATGGTTAAATTTATCACTCTTTATGGATGTTTAGTCTGCTTTCAAAATTTTATATTCCAAACAGTTCATTTAGTACCAATATTTGTACATTTAAAAAAATTTTGTTTTTTAATGTTTAAAATCATTTATCTTTATTTCACTTTTTTCCCCAGATTGGCTGAATAGGAATTTATGGGTCAAATAGATCTGGAATTCTAATTATGTTTCTAAGTACCCATTTGTCCTCAGAGAGTTTATTCTGCTTTACATCACCATGTTCACTGAATTAAAGTAGTTTCCCTAAACTTTGTCAATAAATATTTTAATATTCATATGTTATTAACAATTTCAATTATTTAACTTGTTTTAACTAATTACTAATGCATTGGGAATTTTTCCAGTTTTCTAATGGCTGCTTTTTTCAATGAACTGACTGGTTGCAATTCAGCCATTTTTCCATACTCAGAATAAGAGTTTTATCTATATAAATTATTTTATCCCTTTAACAATCATGTATATTACAACTATTTCTTATGTTCCTTTTACTTTTATTGATAGTGTTTTTTTTAAATAATAAATTTTATTTTTATATTCCCCATACAATTGCAACCCCCCCATTCTGACCCCAATCCCTCCCCTCCCCCCACCACAAAGTGTCTCTGGTTCATAGTTTTTGGTTGATTTTGATTTTCACTTTCTTATAGTTATTCATTTTCCTGATCCCTTATTTAAGTTTTCTAGATTCCTGCTATGAGTGAGACCATCCGGTATTTTTCCTTTTCTTTTTGGCTCATTTCGCTGAGCATGATCCCTTCCAGCGCCATCCATGTTGCTGCAAATTGCATGTGTTTATCTTTTTTGAATGCTGAGTAATATTCCATGGTATATATGTACCACATCTTCTTGATCCAGTCATCTATTTTTGGGCATTTGGGTTGTTTCCAAAGCTTAGCTATTGTAAATAGAGCTGCTATAAACATAGGGGTGCAGGTGTTCTTTGGAATTGATGTTTCTGTGTTTTTAAGCCCATAAGTTGAAGTTTTACATCTGAAGCTCTTTCAACATCTCCTTAGTGCTTTGTGTCTTATAGATCATTCTTAGACTACTGTTCCCATTCACGTTCTGATAGATTTTCACATATTATTTTAATTGCTATCCTGTTTTTACAAATGTTTTTGATAATGTGATTGGTATTTTCACTGAGTAGAAGTACAGTCCTCTCTGAGGACAGAGACTGGATTGAAATTGTAATGGACGAGCTAGTAATGGGACAACCTCATAAAGAATACAGTTTGAAGAAATTGATCATTTTATATATGGAACAACTGTCTCAAGACTAGATGAGGTGGTAATGAACCAACACAAATACTGACTGAAGACAATTCATTGTCATCAGGGTAGGAAGAGTTTTTCTTACTCACCTTTGCAACTGAAAGTACTCTCACTACAAATGGCAAAAACAGAGTGATGAGGAGCACAATTTTCCAACTGTGAAATGTTCTTCCAGGCATTAGGAACCTTCTAATTTTCTTCTTCCTGGTCTTTCCTGCTTTCATTCTTCTACAGCCACTTACTCTTCTTATACCAAGTGTGCTATCACCTCAGCTCCCTCTGCCTGAAATGTCTTCTCGCAGATAACAACTTAGTTTAGTTCATGCCTTAACCTTCTTCTTCTTGCGCAAACATCACTTCTTATTTAGGCTTATCCCAGCCACCTTCTTTAAAGGAACGACCTCATTCACCCAGTCCGTTTGATAGCCTGTCCTCTCCACTGCTCACTTTCCTAATTCATCCTGTATGGTTTAAAGAGGATCTCAGATTATAAAATCCATGTATTTATTACTTACTATGTATGTTTCTTCTGATTGGAAGCTAAACTCCATGAAGTCAGAGATCTTCATTTTCTCTTTGGTGTGTAACAAGTGGTAGCTCTCCCACAAATAGTCACACACTAAATACATGTTCTATTTTAAGGTTTTTATTCTAGAGGAAGGAAATCATGATCCACTTCAGTGGTTAATAGCCCTAAGTGATGTTTTTAATGTTTCAAATTATTTGATTTTAGTTAATGAAATCAGGAAGATAGGGACCTTTGAGGATAAATATCAAATATCAAATATTAATTTTGAGCCCTGTCATAATTTTTCCTTTAAATATTATCTTTCATATTTTTGAAATAAACGAAGAATTTAAAGGAGCATTTTGTTTTACAGAGCCATGTACTGTTAATGTGGATTACATGAGCAGAAATAACATAGAGATGAAATGGAAATATGAAGGAAAGATCTTACATGGAGATCTAATAGATTTTGTATGTAAACAAGGATATGACTTAGCTCCATCAACTTCACTGGCTGAATTGTCTGTACAGTGTAATAGAGGGGAAGTAAAATATCCTTTCTGTTTTAGAAAAGGTAAAGCAATAATGTTTTCTTACAGTTTCTTACTTGATCAATTGTGGTCTCTATATTTGAAAGTAATGATTCTAAACAATTCATCTCCATTTTTAATGCAAACAATCAGAACTCATTTGATAAATTTCTGTTCAGTACCTAAACTTAAATAAGATGACTATGCTTTGTCTGTCAATTTTCATAAGTCCACGTTATGAAGGGAGAGATCAAATACTTTTATAAATATCACCAGACTCTCAGAAGATTGATCACCCTATTGCCATTAATCAGCAATTCTGAAAAGCATTGCTCTTTGGGGTTTATTAGAGAGCAGAGTCTCAGAAGAAGGCTTGAGGTAGATTGAGAAATATTGTTCCCTTCTTGTAGTATGAATACGTACAGAAAGCAAGGCTTCACGAGGGATGTCATATACTTTCACTTTCAACTAGATAGGAAAAATAAAATCATGACTTAATCTTTGGGTGGTTTATATACTTATGTATTATAATTTGAGATTATAATTTGCAATAATAAATTTTATGGTCTGCAGTTACTGCAGAAATTTAAAAATATTTTAGAGTCGTCTTAAAAATGCTTGTACATGAAATATTCTATTTCTGGAGCCATTGTACAAACACAGGATTTTTATTACAGCGGTTCATTGTATGCTTTTGCAGAATCTAAAGGAATGTGTGCACCTCCTCCTCTTATTAGAAATGGAGTTATTATTAGTTCAACAGTAGGCACCTATGAAAACGGTTCTTCAATAGAATACAGATGTTTTGATCACCATTTTCTACAAGGGTCTAGGGAGTCCTATTGTTTAGATGGAATGTGGACTACACCACCTTCATGTTTAGGTATGCACTACTAAATATGTCTATATTAAAATACAATTGTATTTTTCACTTTCTATCCTCATTGAGCTGATATGAGACTAAGGTAATGCTTAATTAGCTATGTTTGTGTTATTAGTGTGCCTATTTATTCACTGCTTTGTATGGTTTCCTCTAGATCACAACTAACTATGGCCCAGTTTGTTCTAATAAATACTCACTAAGGGGCCTCCAATTACAGATGAAACTTTCTCTAAGTTTATTTTCATCAGGGTTCACCTGTCACCTTGTAGGGTTCTTCATTGGGAATTGGTTATAAACCAAGTTTCCTCCTTCTAACTGGTTTTGATATTACTGGGAGATCAAAGGGAAAGCCACGTGGAGTATAAAGTTCATTCTACACATCGATCTCCCTAGGATCTTGACACATCAAGTCTTTGGCTAACTCAAGCTTCCATGTTCTATCCTCAACCCATGAGATTTTCTAAAAATCTGCTTGTTACTGACCATTTTCTACCAGACTTTCAACATGTTCCCCAAGAGGAAAATGGCACAGAAATGTTATTAAGTTCATCTGAAGGAGCTTTTACCAGAACTTTGGATCTTAAGTTTTAACTGTTTTTGGTATTTTTCCAATTGCTTGAAATAATTGGTTTTTGGCCTATTTTCACATTTTCTAGTTCTCAGTAAAAGTATTAATCTGATATGGATCAGTTTGTCATAGTCAAGAGCAGAAGGTCGTGGGTTAATTTCATTTACGTACTTTCATGAATCAATTTTTTAACTTGCTTTAATTAAAAATTCATGTTTTGTAGAACAATGAGATTCTAAATCATACTACTCATTAGGAAAACAATTTTGCAGTGACTAGGCAAATCCTATTAGACTCTTTCTACTAAAACCTGTCCATTTCTATTCTAGTAATTCAAATCTATAACATCTAACATAACATCTGATCCATTAGGCATTCAATAAATAGTTGAACAGAACTGAATGAATAAGTGTGTTAATGTATTCTAGTTATATGATTCTTATTTCTATTAGCAAGTCTGGATCATTTAACCTATTTTAGAATACACTTCTTGGTCTGGGCCATCCAGAAGGTAAATAAGAACACAAGCAACCCCATTTTCTGAAATAAGTTGACATTTTGAAAACATCATTGTTTTCTTCATGGAAGAAAGTCAAAGACGTTTGTTGGGTAACCTAAACTTAAGTTTTTATTTTGTTTGTTTTGTTTTGTTTTATTTTAATATATAACGGTACGGTTACAAAGAATACATTCAATGCCTAGGATTTAAAATATCTTAATCAAATCTTGATATTCCTTAATAACTGTAAATTTAAAGGAAGAGCATCGTTAAACTCTTTGAATACCATCAGATCATAAAACTGGACTCCGATTTAAGAAAAGATTTTTTTCCCCCAGTTCCATAAAATATTAGTCATCAAACTATCAATCTATGTTGTCTCATGGGCATTTTGCTTGAAACTTTGGAGGAAGGAAAAAGGAAAAGAATGTTATTTCAATGATTGTTAGCTACACTCAATGCTCTAAAATAGAACCTTGTTTGTTTGCTACTAATGCCTGGGAATCCTGAGTAGGAAGTATAGCAATTGATGTTAGTGTTACGATGTGTCAAGAAAATTTTCTTTTTTCTTTCAGAGCCTTGCACACTATCTTTTGATGAAATGGAAAAGAATAATTTACTCTTGAAATGGAATTTTGACAATAGACCACATATCTTCCATGGCGAGTATATTGAGTTTCGCTGTAGGAGAGATTCTTATATAGCTCAGACATCTACTATCGGAACTGAACTTAGAGTGCAATGTGACAGAGGGCAGTTAAAATACCCAAGATGTATTCAAAGACAAAGGTAAAAAGAGGCTTGTTGCTACAATTATTATTTTGGTCAGATTCTTATTCAAAGGATTTATTATATTTTAAATTCCAGAAACCTTAGGTGCTACAACTCCTACTTTATAGGTCATTATAAAGGAAAGGGTTAATTTTCTTTAGTGTTTTTTAAACCAGGCAAATGCCTAGAAGTATGAATTCAGTAAGCTTTCTGAGTTGTCCAAAGTCTAAGCATTACTTGCTGTTTGATATTTGTGACATTTTGATAATTAATGAAATAAGAAAATTTATGAGGTTTTGAAATGACTTACTGAAGTGTTTCCTTTTCTTCGGATTGAAAATTAAATTCTCCTCGATAAACTGAAATAACCCTAATATTTTTTAGAAATATATTAAACTAATATAATGAAACAATGTAAATAATTTCATAGTATTGGAACTTTGAAACTTTTAAAGACAGACTATAAAAAGAAAATTATAATTTATGTATGTTCAATTAAGAATATTTAAAATACATATGCAGAAATACATGTATCATTTCGACTTTGTAAATGGTGAACTATATGAACTGCTTAAGGATAGATCTTTAGAAACTTGGAACACTCCAGAAAAAGTCATTAATAAGATGCACATTGGTGGGAAACCGTTTTATTATTCGTTGTGATAAAATAGGTAGAAAAATGTTATTTAAAGGTTTCAGTGCATTTTGGATTTCTCTTTTCTAAGAGGAAAAGAAGGAAATATTAATACAAAGTATAAAAGATAGTGTTAGTATAATAAATGACATTGAATTTTTAAAAAGGAATTGGTTTTGTTTTGCCAAATATGGCTATTTGTTTAAACAATGACTAATTATATGAGATGCCAAAATACTAATATTGTAATAAACGCTTGAGTAGAAATGATGCTTATTTCACTTCTCTCCCTCTCTCGTCGTCTCCCATCAAGGATGCTGTCTTTTCAGGAACCAGTAAGGCCATGAGAATGAATAACAGAAAGAAGAATAGTATTTCAGTAAATCATGAAATCCTTTATAAAATCTAATTTTAGAAGAAAAATAGTGAGGTAAAAACCTATAACTTTGCTGGAAGATTTCAGTCTAATTGTTTATGTTGAACATTTTTCTTTATTTTAAAATAAAAGCCAGAATATGTATTTCATTTCTAGTTTCAGTGATTTGACATGTAACTTACTGTATGTTCTCCACCAGCAATAAAATTAATCTATACGTTAAAATACTTGTTTCCTAATGTCCACTTATTGGACTACATTATCTTCACTACATGCAAAAAATTCATGTTTGTCTTTATCATCTTTTATCAATAAAGATCTCTGTTACTTCTAATTCAGTACAGATGTCAACCTTGGCAAATAAACACACAAGATAAACTGTACATTATATGAAAGAGTTCATTTAATTAAAAATAGAAGATACTACCCTTCATACTTATAAAATGTAGAGAACTTTAAAAAATGAACTGTGATATTAGCTGAAGGTTAGTGAGCAAGTATTTCGTGAGGTAGTAATCTGTCCAGATGTTCAAATATTGCCCAAGAAATACAGTTTAAAAGTGCTAATTATTTAGGTTAAATAATTGTTGGGATCACGCAGATTATAAAATCTGAAATCAGTGAATACTGCAAGCATTGAAAAATGGCATTATCATTATTACCAAGATAAGTGGGTGACTTCAAAGTGCCACATTGCCACTTTTCAGCTTGAAGCAGCAGTTATACTTTTAATCGCTATCACAGTTCATTCATAAGCAGTGTAATGACACTACCTAGGTACAGGGATACCTGTTAGGATTGGTCGTTGTTACTAGAATAGCATTTTTTTTTCTATCTAGAAATTATTCAGTACATCTAACTCAAGATCTTATTTTTTTCAGTATGATGACTTTCTTCAAATCTCCAAGTTATAATTATTTACTACCGGGTTATGAGATAACCTCTGTAAACGAAGTCACAATTCTTGGATTTAGATTTAAATTTGAGTCCCTGGATTAAATATTCACTCATCAAATGTTAAGCGTGCATGTTTTAGGGCTGTGCTTGAATACGTAGTTATTAATTAATTTTTTTGTAGTAGTTTTCTACAGTGGATCCCATGAAATTGAAATCTGATTGAAATTAAATAGTAATAGGAAAGTATTGATCCTTTTCACTCAACCACTCAATGCATTAATGAGTGATACAGAGCAGCTGCTGTATCCCAGGAGAAGGGTAATGCAGGATACAGATATGAATCAAATTCACTCAGTATTTAAAGGAAATCCCAAAGGAAGGAACTCCTTAGTTTAGTAGAAGAGAGAAAGTACTAGCAGTAGCCAACTCAAAGACCTAGGGGAACAAGCACAAGTCTGGGATGTTGAGTGTGTCAGGGCCTGTGATATTCCTGGTGGCCTGATGATGGCACGCTCTGTTTAACCCGGACAGCTGCTGCTTTGCTCAGCGTGGATGATTGTCCTGTGAGATTGAGTCCAGTATTGCTGCATATTCTGCTTTGTTTCTTGTGAAATCTGACTTTTATACGTGGAGGAGAAACGAAATAATTTTGTGAAAAACGCAGTTCATAAGCTGCCAGTCTGGAAAGTGCCTGCACAAAGCAGAGCGGTGGCACAGCTGAGGCAGCTGAACTTTTTGGGGGTGTGTGGAGGAGGGAAGGGAGGGAGTGGAAAGCTTCCTAGAAATAGTAAGTCTGGGGTCTACCCGACCGGAGAAGACATTTCAAGTCGAAGGCACAACGCAGGCAACATCAGCTATTAAGCACAAACCGCACACTGCGTATTAAACCCAACTTTCGGGATAAGAGGAGAGGTGGGACTTGCCCTCAGGACTGTGGGGAGGGGGAGCAGCCGACCCTCCTCCCGGGTCTCGCAAGGAGCCGCGCCGGCGCCCGAGGGGCTGCGGGGTGTCGAGCGGGGGAGCGGCCGTGGCGACGCGGCGAGCGGGCCGCAGCCGCTGGGAGGTGAGCCCGGGGTAGGCGCGGCGGCCCCGGGGGAGGCGGCGTCCCCGCCGGTCCTGTCCCTCAGCCATTTCTGCCGGTCGCCCTTTCTCTGCTTCGGGGACGTGCGCCCGGGCGCCTCGCGGACGCTGGGGCTGGCCCTGGCCAACCCGGACGAGGAGGTGGCTGAGGTGAAGATCCGGCGCTTCCCGGCCCCCGACCGCGGCTTCAGTGTCTCGCGCCGCTTTTTCGTGCTGCAGGTGAGTCCCGGGCGCCGGCGGGAGCCCGGCAAGGGGCGGGCGGGCGCGCGGCGCGCGGGCGGGGCGCGGGCGGGGCGCGGGCGGGGCGCGGGCGGCGCGGGCGGGGCGCGGGCGGGGCGCCGCGCCGCCCTTGGGAGGTCGCTCCCTGGTCTCTGCTGAGGGGCGAGCGCGGCTGGGCGGGGAGCCTCAGGTCACCAGCCCCTGGAGAATAAGTGACTGTGCCGCCGCGCTGACTCCGTCGGTCCTTGTCGCCTGTGTCACGAAGGGCCAGGGTAGGCGACCGCCGGCGTTTGGTGGCGCAGCAAGTCGCGCGCAGCTGCAGGACAGAAGCGTTTTCAAGACCCCTGTTCAGTGGGGAAGCGTTTCACAGCCTTCGGGTGCTGCGACGGGCTCTTGCAGTTTTAAAGTAAAAGCATTAGAACGCTAGCCTAGTTTTCAGATGGTCAGGAGTACTTCGGTTGGAGCAACTTTTTTTTTTTAACTGCTTCCTGTCAAGTCGTCGTAATATATGCACTTTCGTGTTCACAAGCATCAGGGAAACGACTCCCTCTGAAGCGCGTCAGGGTGATTCTGCTGCAAGATTTTGGGTTCTTTGTTTTTGCTAATATTCGCAGCAGAAACCAAGAAGCTTCTTCCTAGTGTTCAGCCTGCATGTATGGGGTCAATGCACACATTAGCATGAGTGTTTTAATCCTTTGCTTTCTTTTCTGTCAGTCTCAATGGCGAACCTAATTTTATGCATGTGGTTTCAGTAACTTCCCCTGCAGTTTTTTCTGCAGTGCATTGACCAGAGTAGCATTCCCACCCTTGTCACCAAAAAGCAGAGAATATGGGTTCTTGTTGTGACTACTGTGGGTTTTCCACCGCGTAAAACCTCTGCACGTATGAAGATAGACCATGAGTTGAGGGCGTGTGAGCAGTTAGCTGAGTAAATGCTTCACAAGGTAGGGGGAAGCAGCTCTGGTTTGAGATCCATGAACTGGTGTGTAACCAATCTGCACAGCCACATTTCAGAACCTGCCTCACCCCTATAGTCTATGACTTGTTACTTTTTAGGGAAAGAGATGTTTGTTTGTTTTCTATCTACCTAACACTTACTTCCTTGATAGTTGGAACTAATGGGCGTGTGTGTGTGTGTGTGTGTGTGTGTGTGTATTTATTCAAATGTACTTTTTTTATAGGAGTGCAGGTTCCCTTTCCAATTAGTGTTTTTGTGTCCTTGGGTAAATTCCAAGAAGTGGAATTGCGGGATCATATGGTAGATTCATTTTTAGTGTTTTGAGGAACCTCCACACAGCTTTCCATAGTCCCTGGACCAGTTTACATTCCCACCTGTGGTGTAAGAGGGTTCCTCCTTCTCCACATCCTCATGAGCATTTGTTTACAGTTTTTTAAATATGGGCCATTCTCACTGGTCAACGTGGTATCTTACTGTGGTTTTGATTTGCATTTCCCTGATGACAGGTAACATTGAACATTTTTTCATATGCCTGCTCCCCATTTGTGTTTCTTCTTTGGAGCAGCATCTTTTTATCTCTTCTGCCCATTTTTTCACTGGGTTGTTTTCTTTGTTTTTGTTGAGTTGTGTAAGCTCTTTGTAGATCTTTGATATCCCTGGTAAAGTGTGCAGATATTTTCTACATTCAGTTTTTGTTTTGGTTACTGTCTCAGAAATTTTTTAGTTTGAGCTAGTCCCTGTTTATCTTCTCCTTCATTTTCCTTGCTTCTGGAAAAGCAACCTCACAGATATTTCTGAGGTTTATATCGTGGAGTGTTTTGCCTGTGTCCCTTTCTATATATTTCACGATTTCAGGTTTTACATTCTCTTTCCATTTTGTGTTGATTTTTGTGTATGCTGTGAGAATGTAGTTTAGTTTCATTTCCAACATCATTTATTGAAGAGGCTTTCCTTGTTCCAGTGTATCTTCTTTCTTCCTTTGATATAGATGAGTTGACCACAATTGTGGTTTTACTTATGGACTTTCATTGGTCTGTGTGTCTGTTTTGGTTCCAGTACCATGCTGTTTTTATTATTATGACTTTGTCATAAAGTTTGAAATCTGGGCATGTAATACCAACATTCTTCCCTCTGTTATTCAGGAGAGCTATGGCTATTCAGTGTTTGTGTTTGTGATTCCACCTGAATTTCAGCAGTATATAGTCCATTTCTTTAAAGAATAACATTGAGATTTTTATTGGAATTGCATTTAATCTGAAAATTGTTTTTGATATGATGGCCAATTTGTTAATATTAATTCTTCCAATCCATGTGCTGGGAATATCTATTTCTTCGTGTCTCCTACTTCTTTTAACAGTGTTTTGAATTTTCCTTGTGTAGGTATTTCACTTTCTTTGTTAGGTTTATTCCCTGGTATTTTGTTTGGGGGGAGTACATTTACAAATATGATGTTTTTTCTTAATTTCTTACTCCTTCTGATTATGTGCATTCATTTTGCAATCTGCTACTTTACTGATTTTTTCTAGTTCAGTAAATTTTTCTCCACATTTTTTAGGGTTCTCTCTCTATTATATTGTATCATCTACAAATAACGATAGTTTTACTTCTCCTTTTCCAGCTTGGATTCCTTTTATGTCTTTCTCTTGCCTAATTACTTTAGGTAGGACTTCAATATTACGTTGAAAAGCAGTGGTGAAAGTGAACTTCCTTGTCTTGTTCCAGATACTAATGGGACGTCTATTCAGTTTTTCACCATTAAGAATATTAGGTCTCTGGGCCTCCCCGGTGGCGCAGCGGTTGAGTGCTGGGTTGCGAAGCTGCCCGCAGCCTCTGCAGCTCTGGTTCGATCCCTGGCTGCTCCCCGGCCACCGGAGGAGGGTCCCGCATGGCGCACAGACCTCTCCTGCCGCCCTCTGCTCCCCTCAGCAGTGTACTTCAGTCCCTCTGCCTGCTCTGCTCCCCGCTCTGGCTCTGGTGAATTCTCTCACCCTCCCGCACTTCTGACTGTACCCAGTGCATGTATAAATAAATAAAATAAATAAATAAATAAAAAATCTTTAAAAAAAAAAAAGAATATTAGGTCTCTGGTGAATACTTTCACCCTCCCGCGCATCAGGCCTGTGCCCCGGTTCTTGTCTGAATAAATAAGTCGATCTTAAAAAAAAAGAATGCTATTAGCTGTGGGTTTGTCATATATGGCTTTTATTATGTTAAGATCTTTTCCTTTTATTCCACGTTTTTCAAGGGCCTTCATCATAAATTATGTTCATAAAATGCTTTCTCAGCATCTATTGATATGATCATGTGATTTTTCTTTTTCTTTTTGTTGATGTGGTGACTTATGTTAATTGGTATTTAAATGTTGAACCTTTCTTGTGTTCCTAGACTAAACCCACTTGGTCATGATGTATAATACTTTTGGTGAGTTGTTGGATTTGTTTTGCTAAGGTTTTTTTTTTTTTGTTTGTTTGCTAAGTTTTTTTTTTTTAAAGATTTATTTATTTATTTATATAAGCATTGGGTACAGTCAGAAGTGCCAGAGGATGAGAGAATTTACCAGAGCCCAAGAGGGGAGCAGAACAGGCAGAAGGACCGAAGTGCACTGCTGAGGGGAGCAGTGGACTTGGCAGGAGAGGTCTGCGTAGCCAGTGGGACCCTCTCCAGCGGCCAGGGATCAAACTGGTGCTGCAGAGGCTGTGGGCAGCTGTTTTGCTAAGATTTTATGGAGAATTTTAGCATCTGTGTTCATAAGGGAGATTGGTTTGTAATTTTCTTCTTGTATGTTATCTTTAGTTTTGGTACCAGTGTAATATTGGTTTCATAAAATGTATTTGGTAGTATTCCTTTTTTCTTGATTCTTTGAAAGAATGTTTGTAGGATGGGCATTAGTTCATCTTTGAACGTTTGGTAGAACTCACTTGTGAAACCATCTGATCCCTGGCCTTTGTTTTTTGGGAGGGTTTGATTGCTGTTTCAATTTCGCTGCTTCTAATCGGTTTAGCTCTTCTAGTTCTTCTTTGTTCAGCTTTGGGTGACTGTATAGTTCTCAGAATTTGTCCTTCTTATCTAGATTGTTGAACTTGTTTGTGTAAAAATATTCATAGTAATCTCTATCTTCTGTGTCTGCTGTGTCTGTTGTAATTTCTCCTCTTTTATTTGTGATCCTATTTGTGTGATTTTTTTCCTTCTTTGTGAGCCAAGCTAGAAGTTTATCTATTGTATTTTATTTTTTAAAGAACCAGCTTTTGGTTTCATTGATCATTTGAATTGTCTTTTTTATTTCTATTTCATTTCTGCTTTAACTTATATTATTTCCTTTCTTCTACTTTTTTTGTCGTTCTTTTTTTAGTTCTTGGAGGAGGAAGATTAGGTTCTTTCTTGATTCTTGATGTGGGCTGTTAGGCTATATACCTTCCTCTTACTACTGTTTTGTTGTATCCTATTTTTCCTGAAATGTATGTCTTCATTTGTCATTCATCTTAAGGTATTTTTAAATGTCTCTTTGATTTCCTCATTTACCCAGTGGTCTTTCAGTAGCCTGTTGTTTAGTCCTCATGTGGTAAGGGAGCTCCTTGCTTTCTTTTCATAGTCGATTTCCAGATTGATGCCTTTCTGATGAGGGAAGGTATGATTTCAGCCTTCATGCATTTTTTATTTTATCTTGTGCCCCAATAACTGTTTGATCCTGGAGAATGATTCATATGTACTTGAGAAACTTTGTATTAGGTTTTTTGGGGTGTAAAATATCCTATAGATGTCTGTTAAGCCCATGTGATCTAGATCTTTACTTAGGGCTATGTGTTCTTGTTTATTTTTTGTCTAGTTGATCTGTCCATTGGTGAAAGCGGAGAGTTGAAGTCTCTTAACCACATATGTATTTACTCCAATGTCTGTTTTCAGAGATGATGGTACTTTTCTAATATTTGGATGTTCCCTCACTTGGTGAGTATATATTGATGTGTGTTATGTCTTCCTGGTGTATTGTACCCTTGGCATAGTGCCCATCTGTGTCCCTTGTCACCTTTTTTAGCTTGAAGTCTATTTTATCTGATATAAGTATGGTTGCCCCTGCCTGCGTTTTGGGCTCATTTGCTTGTAGAATTGTTTTCCAACCCTTTACTTTCGATCTAAGTTTATCTTTAAAATTTAGGTGTGTTTCTGGGAGGCAGCAGAAGTTTGGATTCTGTTTTCTAATACCGCATGCTCTTTTATGTCTTTTACTGATGATTTTACTCTGCTAACATTTAGGGTGATTATTGATACATGGAAGTCAGCCTGTATTGCCATTTTCTTCACCATTTTGTGATTCAATACAATTCCTTGTTCAGTTCTTCTTGTTTGTTCCTCTCTTGCTTTAGGTTTTTAGGCTTCGTATACTATTTCTCAGTGGGGGCTTCATGGTAGTGAATTTCTGAAGATTTTGTTTGTCTGAAAAGTTCCTTATTTTTAACTCAAATAGAAAGGAGACATTATAGGATTGGATATTCTCTTGGCTAGCATTTTCATCTTAGAATTTTTTAGAATAAGTCATTCCATTTCTCCTCTTGGATTAGTCTTGGATTCTTGGAAGCTTTACTAATATGTGTCTTGCTGTAGAGTTCCTTTCATTATGATAATTTGGCACCCTTCTAACTTCCTGTATGCCTATAATCATTCCCTGCTCAAGTTTGGGAAGTTCTCTACAATTACTTCCTTAAATAGTTTCCCCTCTTCCTTGCCTCTCTCTTCTCCTTTTGGAATTCCTGACTCTTCTATTTTCTTTCCTCATGGAGTCAGATAATTTTCAAAATGTTTCCTTATTCTTTGTGTCTCTCTTTCCTTTTCTTCCTTGTTTCTTTTCAGATCTGTGTCTTCGGGAGTATTGACTCACTCTTCCATGTATTCTATCCTGTTTATTTTCATGGCTTTTTTTCTAGAATTTTTTAGCTCTTCCATTGATCTTTTACATCCTGCAGCTCCTTAATTTTCTTATTTAAAGTTTCAGTGTTTTCTTTTGTTCATTGATTATGTTTTCCAAAGTGTTCTTTTCCTTTTCTGTATTTTCTCACATATCTCTGATTTGTTTTTCTGGGTTTTGTTTGTGTTGTTTGAGTTCTTTGACTTTTTCAATTATGACAGTTTTTCCCTTGGCCACTTGTATTTTTCTTTCCTCCCATTGTTTATTTTCATTTTTGCTCTGCTATAGATGGAGCTTCAGTTGGCTGTGCAACTGCTTCTCCCTCTACTTCTGGGTGTTCACAATGGCTTACCGTGAATTATAAAGTGCAAATGGGGCTGTTGGGTAGAACCTCTGTTTACCTTACCTGGCCATGGGTTGTCCAGGTGAGTGTCTGGGATGCTGGTGCCTATCAGTGTCTCTCTGGGCAAGCTGATGGCGGGATGTCCTGGGTGGTCGTGTGTCCTGTGACAACTTTGGTGTACTCTGTCTCAGGACTGGGTTTCACCAGACTGTGTGGGTTTTTGGCAGGGATGTTTTGGGAAGTCACAGGGGCCTGAGTAGGCAGGCGCTGGTGGAGTTCGCAGAAGTTGGCAAGACCTCTGTTGTTCTGGGTAGGGCTTGTTATCTTGTGCTGGAGATTATGAGGTGTCCGGGCACTCTGGCTCCTCCCCAAGTTGCATCCCAACTCTCACCTGACCAAGCTGGGGCTGGCAGAGTCCCTCGGAGGTTTGCGGGTGTTCTTGTTTTTTTAGACCAGCCAGCTATTTATGATATTATATGGTTTCTCCTTCAAAACAAAATTTGTGTTTTTCACTGGAAAAACAATAGACACAGTTTTCTTGTCATGTTAGGGTTTTGCATTTGACAAATTCTGCCAGGCTGTGGGATGTTGGTGTTAAAGTCTGAACTTTGAAGTCAGACTGCCTGGATTTGAATTTTTAGCTGTATGATGTTGGCAAAATACATGAAGCTTATTGGGTCTTGATTATTTCATCTGTAAAACGTGCATCTAAATTATGGTACCTGATTCCTAATGATGAGAATATAAATGAGTTAACTAGATACCTAAAACTATGCTTGGAATGTAAGATGTACTTTGAAAATTATCAGTAATGATAATGTGGAGTTTAGAGGAGTTTGGGGGGGACCAAAGAAATTAGTTGGTCATCTTAACATTTCTTTTTGGAAAAAGTCTTCAAAATACAAGGTCATTATATTTACAGTACAATTACTGTGCAAATTATTTTTTTTGTGCACAAAATGCTGTACAAATGTTAAAGAAGTAAAATATGCAAGTAGCGTTGAGCCAGACAACTAAAATAAAGTGATGTGGAGACTATCTGTTCTTGCTTTCATGTACATTGAATATTTTCTGTCTTTTTTTTTTTTAAGATTTATTAATTTATTTATACAAGCACTGGGTACATTCAGAAGCACGGGAGGGTGAGAGAATTCACCAGAGCAGAACAGGGAGCAGAGTAGGCAGAAGGACTGAAGTACACTGCTGAGGGGAGCAGCGGGGGGCAGGAGAGGTCTGCATGCCATGTGGGACCCTTGCTGGCACCCGGGAATGGAACTAGTGCTGCAGAGGCTGGGGGCACCTTCGCAGCCCAGCGCTCAAACGCTGTGCCACCAGGGAGGTCCTATTTTGAATTTTTTGAGTAATCTCCATAATGTTTTCCATAATGGCTTACCTAATTCCTTTTTATGAATATTTCAATTACACTGTGTGGTAGATAGGCATCTTGTAGAAGACTTTGTATTAAGAAATAAACCAAAGTAATAACTATTTACATCTTATAACTAACAAAGGTATGGTTTAGTTCGGTTTTTACATATTTGTGAGCTAATATTATTTTGAATAAGGATACAAGAATATTTTTATCATTTCGTCTGAAATAGTCTCAGAAAGTCTCAGAAGATATAAAGAAAACTTTGAGTAAATCAGGAGAGTGATGGATGGAAAAAGCAGGCACTAAAGGAATTGAATTTCTGCTCACTAGTATTTTCAGAATAGGGCACATATTTTGGTTTACCAAGTTTTAATGTAATAATTGAAAGAAGCACTTCATTGATCTCTCAGATTATAATTGCATATCCATTTTACATTAAATACAAATTCTGGTTTATTAAAGAAAATGAATCAAACAATCCTTGAAACAATAAGTAGAGATTGGATAACTTGTGCAACATTATGTTCAAAATTGTATTAATAATGAATACCTGTACATATTGTAAGTTTTGACTACACTTTATGCATTTTTTCTATACAAGTGGGATATATCAGTGTTCCTTTCTGACAGGTTTTTCGTAAGGATTCTTTTGTCACTGGACGATATCCATTTTTACACACAAAGTGAACAGGTTCCCCTGACTGAGAATAAAGTTTGTCAGCATCTATCCATCTCAACCTTATATGATGTTCCTCCATGGCTGTTGGTGATATTATGCATGGCTCTAATGGGGAGGAAAAGAATGTAAAACATTTAGTGACAAATATTTTCACAGGACTTTAGACTTTCAAGGGCAATCTACATTGGTCCAAGAATTTTCGAAACTGTTTCCTAACCAAAACATAAGTTGTACCAGTATTAAATTAATTATTTAAATTATTAATTTAAGTAATATATAAATTTGATTAATATTTAAATTAGTGATTTAAATGTTAAATGATAAATGATGTAAAAATAAAGCACTGTGTTTAATACGTGATAATTAAATGTTATAATCCCAGATTTATAGTATCAATGATCATATTAAGAAGATTGATTAAAGGAAATTGTTGCTGTTGTTGCTTGAAGGATGTTACAATGTCTGATTTCCTCACACATTATTTTGTAGCCAACCATTCACAGAATAATAGTTTTTCATCCATGAAAATTTTAGTTTAAAGAGTAAAACATCATACACATTACAGTGATTTTTCCGAGTTTTCATCAGAATTTTAAAATACTTACCTAGACATTCTGGTGGTTTTGACCATTGTCCATTGCGGCATATTACATTCTGGTTTCCATCAAGTTTATAGAAAGACTTGCATCGGTACTCAACTGATGTTTCTGGAGCATATACTGGTAATAGGGGTGAGGTAATATCTCCATTGTTTATAGGTGGAGGCGGGCCACATTTTCCTTTCGAGTCTAAAAAAATATATGATTTGCTGAATTTGACCTGTTAATCTCAGGTTATTTCAATAAATTCAACAGGTTAAGACCCTGAATAGGCAAGTAGTCATTAAAAAACGATGAAGAAGAGAGGTCTCATAAGCCCAGATTTCAAACTACAGCATAAAACTACAGTAATAAAAACTATATGGTACTGGAATAAAAATAGATACAAAGACCAATGGACTAGAATTTAGAACCCAGAAATAAGCCCTAACTTTATTGTCAGTTAATCTGTACATGGAGCCAGGATACACTGGATAAAGGAAACTCTTTAACTAATGGTGTTGGAAAAACTAGACAGTCGCAGGGAGAAAAAGAAAAACATCAACAAGGGGCTGATGCAAACTCTGCAAAGAACATATGGAACTAAACAAAAAGAAAGCAAGTAACCCAATAAAAAAAAAATGGACAGAAAAGGTAAATAGACACTTCTCCAAAGAAGACACACAGATGGACAACAGACAGAAGAAAAATAAAACCTTATTATCAATTATTCTTAGAGAAACTCAAATCTAAACCACAATGAGATACCACTTCACCCATATGGAAATGGTCCTCATCAAAAAGACCAGAAACAGCAAGTGTTGGCAGGATGTAGAGAAAAAAGAACCAGTGTACATTGTTAGTTGGAATATAGACTGGCTCAGCTCCTAAGGAAAACAGAATAAAGTTTCTCAAAATATTAAAGATAGGTCTGTCATATGATCTAGCAATTACAAACCTTGGTATCTACGTAAAGAATGCAAAGACACTAATTCAAGGGACATATGCACTCCTAAGTTCATTGTAGCACTATTTACACTCGCCAACTCATGGAACAACCCTAGTGTCAAGGAGAAATGAGTGAGTTAAGAAGCTGTGGAATGTATTCACAATGGAATACTACTTAGCTATATAAAAAGAAAGATGAACTCTTTCTGTCTGTGACAATGTGGATGTACCTGGTGGGGGTTATGCTAAGTGAAATAAACCAGAAGGAGAAAGACATATCAGATGTTTCATTCTTATGTGGAATACAAAACGAAGGGTCAAAGAAAACCAAACCAAAAATATACTCTAGAAATATTAAACTAAATTACCATATTTATTTCTCAAAAATCACTAAGTGTCTTAATCCTTAAGATAGGGAATTTTCCATGATTCCAATAGTTTCAGTTTGTTCAAATCTTTCATAAAATAAACCATGTTGCTTCTTCAGTCAAAAAATAATTGGATTTTAAAGTACCTTCGTTTTATTTGATTTGAAACACTTTAATACGAACAACTGCATATATCTTATTATTATCCTTAGATGTCATACTTGGGATAAATATGTTGATATATTGAATATATCACCAAATACATTATCTAAAATCATGTATAAACTATGATACTCTACATTTGCACTCAGGTGGTTTTGTCCATGTTCCATTTAAACATATCACTTCCATATCCCCAAATATGTCGAAAGGTTTTTTGCATTCATACTGTACTCTCTCACCAGATGAGTACCTAGGCATCTTGTTTGGTATCACAGCATTTTCCACTCTAGGTGGATCTACACAGGAAACATCTGTCGAGGAAAACAAAAGCATCTCCAAAGTAATGATTCATGTGAGTAGCAAATCAGTAATTGGGGTCCCAACTATATGTGAAAGGGGAATCAAAATAAATAATCTGTCATGAAAAAATACTAATTTTAATAAATTTGCATGCAAAATTAAAGAAAGAGGGATAAAGCAATCTATTTTTTGATAATGTTGACTCCCCTGTACCTTACCCTAAATAGAAGATTCATAGACATTTTTGAATCAGTGAAAATGAGAGTTTTACTGGACATGTCCATGGGTTTAGTAAAATAAATATTATAAATTATAAAAATTCAAGGTGACTTTACAATCCACAAGAAATTCATAAGAAAGAGATTAATTGACATCAATTAATGAATATGGTTTCCAACCATCCTGTTTCTGAAGTGTAATTTTAGGTTCATCGAAAAGTACACGTGGTAGACACTTCTTCAGAGAATATATCTGGAGCGGTAACACTTTGAAGACCATGGTTAAAGAAAGATGATTAATCCAGTCATCCCAATAGATGTGGAGAAAAAAACGGATGTAAATGTGTCATTTATGAAAACACTTTTTTGGAGTGTATTTTTTGCAAAATTTTAAATTACTTTAATGAGTGACTCGCAATTCATCAGTGAGAGTCAAGGAATATGTTAGCTAGTAGGTTACATAGTATTTATGTTTGATTCTTAAACCAAAGTGTGCACAGAATCCCCTGGGAATTGCTCAAACAGTTTCAGGGTTGAATCCCCAGAGGTTTTGATTCAGCAGGTTGAGTGAGCTTGTGAATTTGCATTTCTAGCAATTTCCAGAAGATGCTGATGCTGCTATTCCAGAGACCAAACTAAGAATTATTGGGCTTTAGGATTAGCCACTGAGTATACAATTTCATCCCATTATGTTAGGCATAAACAATCGTTGATCTGGCCTAAAATATCCTATGTCTATTTCTAATGATGCTAGATGCAATTAAATTACTTAAAACACATTAACAAATTAATTTTAAAAAATTATTGTAGTACCTCTACATGTTGGCCTTCCTATCCATTTTCTCTTAATACACTGTACAGTATTGGAGCCATCTATTTGGTGATATTTTGGACATTTATAAGCCACCTTTTCTCCTGACCTATATGATTCCTTTTTCTGACCTATGAGTATGGCATCACCAAAGCTGGGTAAATTATAACAATCCGTTTCTGAAAGACAAAAAAGAAAGTAATGGGACCTTGCTTAGTAAATATGTAAAAATACATAATGGTCAATAAGTATATTCAGAATAGTTCTATCAAAGCAATAAATGCTCTACTATACTTTCTTATGCATGGTAGCAGGTTTGACTTGGTTTAGTGTAACAGTGTAACAAAGAAATGAAAGCCTAAGAGAAATGGATACTTACATGCTCGAGACCATATTTCTTAAATTCTTTTTTTTCTTTTTGCCTGTACAGGCCATAACATTATGTATTTCTCTTTCTGTTTTGGTCAAAATCTGTTATCTTTGAGTTAGAGAAATGTCTTATAAAAGTATATATTTATAAGGTGATAACCAACAGTATATTGAATAATGACGAGATTGAGTTGCTGTTGTGATATAGGAAAGAAGGTGAGAAATCTCTGAGGATGTATATCAAAGGACATTGAAAGTGCTCACAAGATAATATGAAAATAAATTGAGTTGGTTCATGTCACACTTTAATTACTAGGCCGATTAATTTTATACTAGAACTAGAAAATATCCACAGATACTTTGTTAAATTATATAATTACTACTTAGTTTCACATTTGAACCATTTGATGATATGAATTAGAAAGAAGATATACTATACTTAGGCATTTTGGTAGAGGGGACCATTTTCCTCCTAAACATGTTATAGTTGCAGGTCCATCAATCCCAAAGCCTTCGGTACAATGGTAGGTGACAATTTCTCCATATTGGTAATTGTCTCCCTTTAGATATGGAATACCATGGGAAATCAAACCTGGAGGTTCACAAGGAAGTCCTAAAAAGAAATGTAAGTATGATTACATGTTTCACTAACTCTGGGATTGAATTTAATGTGTGGATATAGGAGCTACCATGACATTACAGCAAAGGCACACAAATGCTTCCTAGAATCACTATCCTGGTTCAGCTGTCAACTTGAGCAAGAACTTGAATTTAAAATGTCAGTATATTATTTAAGAGATTTTCAGTATTTCTCTATCCAATCATGTATAATAATAGAAACTAATCATCTTAAGGAAGTAGCATATATTCAAAGATATCAGAAAAGACATTTTTAAGAAGAATATAACATTTTTTTTAAAAACTTGATGACATCTCAAACATACAATGCTTATATAATAGGCAGAAACAAGAAATTGTATACTTATGTGATCAAGGAGGTTTAATGTCACAACACATTTTAAACATAAAATTGTTAGAATTTCAAGTGACCTATAATGAGTCATTGAAATGAACAATAATAGGATTGATTTATTATAGAAAAAATTTTGGGTAAAATTAAAAAATGATATATAAACCTATGTATGATTGTCTAGTTTTGAATGAATTTTACTGAAAATGGAATTTTAATTTGGATATTGTCCTTCCTCACCTACACACTGAGGTAGAGGGCTCCATTTTCCCATGTGGCATGTTATTTCATCTTCTTCAGATTTCTTGAAACCATCATCACAAATGTAACTAAGTTTGGTGCCATGTGGATAAGTCTTGGATCCTAGTGTAACTTTCCTCTCTTCTGAAGGGTTAGAAAATTGAATGGTTCCATGTTCTATATGAGGTAGTTGTGGACATGGCTTTTTTTCTGTATAAAGAACAGAGATCAAGGGTCAGTTACAAATATAATGCTTAAATTAAAAAATTCAAACATTCCTTTGAACTTTAAAATGGGGATAATTTTAACAAACTAAATTATTTAAACTGAAAAAAGCTGAAAATGGCAAGGATGTATATCTCCATAAAATCTGTGTTACTATCCACTTATATAATATGCTCCTTTGTTCTGGTCCTGTTATTATGAGGAGAAAACTATGCAACTGGAAATTTTATATGGTATATACATAGTTACCCAAAGTTTTTATCTGGATTTATTACACTGAAATAAAAGAATGCTGATTGACACATGAACTTTGATTGCAGTTTAGTCTTTCAATATGAAGTGGAAAGATATAAAGAGACATATAAACAGAAAGACCTCCACCTTGTTCACTTATACAAAATACAGGGGATTGTTAACGTCATCTGAAAAAAATCATAAAGCTTGGTAGGCAACAACTGACCAACACATTGTGGTATTGACTGCCATCTTCCATCTTTACACATAATTTCTTCACCGCCCTGAATTAGATAGTTTTCTTCACAGAGAAGAGATATTCTTTCCCCATCCTGGTAATTCACTGTGGTTGTCATAGCTTCAGCATGGAGAATCTGAGGTGGAGGTGGGCAAAATTGTTTTGGTACTTCTACTTCTAAAATATGAAAATTATATTTCTTGATTAAAAATCATGTTAAAAATAATCAAAGAATAATTCAATAAATGAGAATAATAATATGTGATCAACTAATAATGGTATGTACTATGTTTAAATCAGTTCTACTTTTCAGCTTGATAGCATTTCACTAAATCATATTTGGTTTATTTTCTCTGGTTTTCCTCCCAGTTTGTTTTGTTTTTTCCTTTGATTAATTTTGCATAATTTCTGTGAAACCTACTTGAATTATTTCTAACAATTAGGACATTCTAACAGAGTTATTCATGTGGTGACAGGCACTAAATAAAGAATGAAATCAGGATCTTTTTCAGATATCCATAATCAGATATATTGGGATTGGATTAAAACCTTCACAGGATAGTCTACAGATAAAGGTGATTAGCCAGAGGAAGAATTACATTTGTTAATGATCAATTAATATGATATATGTTATTGGCAAAAAAAAAATAAGATTTAGATATTCAGTGGTTAATTCAGTAGTTTAAGGTATGCCATTTAAAATTCAGACTTCTCCTGGAGATACCATTTCCTAGTTTGCCTGAAATTTTGAGGGATTGTATATAAATGAAATGCACCTGGCTTAATGGATTAGCCAGCCTGGCTTTAGTTACATAACCCTCAGTTTATAAAAGAGCCCTTGTAAACTTGTGTTTGAGCTCCTGTAAAACTGAGATCTATTTTTGAGTAATATGTGAAAATACCTGTTCAACTAAGGAATATAATTTGGAAGTTTTTGCACCTGGTATGAATCCTGTCACACTGTATCTTTATTTGATGAAAGGGAAGTCATGTAAATCCTTTCAGTTGTCCAACCTTGTATATTCCAATGATTCAGGGAAATATTTGACTGACTAAAACACTTCATTCATGCTTTCTAATATTGTCAGATTTTCTATTTCTATCTAAGTCAAAAGCAATATTTAATTTTTGATCAAAAACATTTTTTCTTTTTTCTGTTTTAAATATCTTTGCAGTTTTTTTCCCAACTTATTCTCAAGGATTAATTTCCTTTTATTTCTGTTATTTAACCACTTTTTCCTGAACAGTCTTAATTTGCATTCACGCTTGATAGATTTGCTAAAGTTTGGTCTAACTACAGAGTTTCTCTAAAAGCTGCATTATATTCTGCAAATCACCTGTTTATCCTCTTCCTTAGGTTATCATAATAGATGCTTCAGTTATTCTTTCCTTCTTTGTCCTTTAGAAGTATGTTCTCTTCTATTAGATTGCAAGTGCTATGGCTTCATTTTGTTCTTTGCTATTATTTTTGCTCTTTATTTAGAGAGAGTGGTTTGAGGACACTGATCACATTAACTTTGCATGTTGGGAATTCTTTTATCACATGGGAAAGATCAATTGTTTTAAATTAATTGACTATATTATAATAAGGTAATATAGACTTCAGTACAAGGAGAACCACAAAAAATAAAGGCAATTTTTTTAATTACAGAAAGGTTAATTCACAATGAAAAAATTATTATAAGTGTGTATGCATCTAAGAATATGTCACAGTACATGAAACAAAGCTGGGCAGAACTAAAAAAGGAAAGAGAAGTATTCACAATTCTAGTAAGCAACACTGATAGCTTTTTTACTCTGACTGGTGTATTACAATTAGACAAAAATTTTTTTTGAAAACATAGATAAATTTGAAAAACACCATAAACCACTTTAACCAGATCTATCAAGTAGAATATTACTATGTTTCTATGTGAAAAGGTACCCACCACAAAGATAGAAATCATGTTGCACAATAAAAAACAATTTTCAAAATACTAAAATCTTACACAAATGTTCTATGACAACAGGATATGACCAAAATTAATAGAAATAGATTATACAAGCACAGTAGTGTGTAGTATAGAGAATTAAAAGCAATAATTTTCCAATAGCAGTAAACGTACCTGCTATCCAGATGTTCATTTAAAACCACCTCATTTCTGGGTGGCTTACTATATATCTGATTGATGCACAAAATATAATTAGTATTTAGAAACACCATTTTGGGTAGTTTCTAAACAGCCTTCCAGCCTAAAACTTATTTTTTTAAAAAGATTTATTTATTTATGCATACAACAGCTGGAATGCTGTCCAGAAGTGGAGGTTGCGGAGTCGGGGGGAGAGGATTCACTAGAGACAGAGTGGGGAGCAGAACAGATGAATCTACTGAAATACACTGCTGAGGGCAGCAGCAGGCTAGACAGGAGAGGTCTGCTGTGCCATGTGGGTCAGCTCCCTGGCCATGGATTGAACTGGTGCTGCAGGGGCTGCCTGTAGTTTCATAGTGCCAAGACTTAAACGCTTGTGCTACCAGGGAGGCTCCTAATACTTATTTGTAACATTAAAAAAACCTCTCATTTTCCTTTAAGATACTATATGACAAGTTCAGGAGAAATAGAATAAAAATTTAAGAACTTTATTAACAGGAGCTTACCAGTGCAGGTTATTTTAGGATCCCATTTTCCATTTATGCAGGTGGCGTATTTTTTTCCTGATTTTCCTTTACAGTCGTAACTTGCGCGGTAGTTATGATTAAATTCAATCATATTTGATAGATTTGGATCATTTGCAAATGGCTTTTCTGGTTTACACTTCTCAAGTGCATCTGTTTCTATAAAATGAAAAAAATTCCAGGAAATGTTAATTATAAGAACCAAAGCAACTACTCCAAAAAATAGCTATAGAACCAATACTATAATGAAATTAGAATATGTCTATAAATTCCACCAACCAGGGTACTCCTGATCATATTGCAAGAGATGAGCTATTCTGTAGGAACATATATCCTATACCTTGTCTTAGAAATTTTAGAGAAAATATCCATAATTAAGGTATTTGCATATTGGAGACTGGAAGAGTATAAGAGGTTTACTCTTTTGTATAGTTGCCATAGCAAATGGTGATCACATGTTCAAATTTGTTCCCAGTGTGAAATCTCTGCAGATGTTCACATTCGTTTCTTGATTTCAAGCATCTCTATCTTTAACTGAACCTTAAACCATTAATATAAAATAAATATCTATAAAATCAAATGTATGTATGTATTCTCTCTATATATAGAATCAAATATATAATGTTGCTAGTTTAAGTATATTTTTTCAGGCAAGGTAATGTTATATAGCAAGGAAGTAGATCTGATACATATAGTATAGGATGTGACTATTTAAGCAGATCTTTTGTCTGATCACCAAATAGAAACAGATACTTAAATCAGTAATTGGGGATTTAAATTCATGAATTGTTTTCTGTGTGTACACTTAAAATATGAAGTTAATGGGAAGTATGAAAGTGCAGGCTAGAGGCAGGTATTAAATAAGCACTGGGAGGAGAAAATTGGAGTAAGACCTATTATAGCTGAAAGGGGATTACCTTAAAGTAAATATGGGTAGATTAACTCTAGGAAAGAAAACTGGAGTCAGAAGAGAATATAGTTGAGGCGAGTGTTTTTGGTCTAAATTAGAGTGAAAAGAGGAAAGTTTTCATGACTCATATTACCTTGGGTTCTACAAATTTGAATTCATTATAAATTGAGAATATCTCCCTATTTCAATAATGTTGCAAATCGGCATTTTCAAAGAGAATATCAAATTGATACATATTAATTTTAGGAGTGTATTCTTACCAATGCACTCAGGAAGTTGGCTCCACCTTCCATTAATGCAAGTGGCTGAGCTGTGACCAATCAGAGTAAATGCTTCTCTACAACTGACCTGTACTGAATCTCCATGGTGATAGGGAGGGGCAGCATCTTCAACAAGGCCATTAGGAAGGTCAGGTATACCTCCACATGTGCTCTTCTCCTCTGAAAATTTCACAAAAATGTTTATCATTAAAATGTAATTTGTTATATATGAACACATGCAAAAAGTGTAGGCTATAGTTAATTTTTTTAATTGAATTACCAATACACTTAGGCAAGTTTGTCCATTCTCCATTAACACATTGAATTTTATTGGAACCCTTCATCTGAAATCTAGGATTGCAAACATATTCCACCACTTCATTGTGTTCATATTCTTTTTTCTGTGCTTCTTTAACTTGTCCATTCAGGAGTTGTGGAGGTTTCCAACATGATTTCACTGTCCCTACTGTAGAAATACTGTGTAAGGAGTGGTTAAATTGCATATTTTACAGTTTAAAAAACCCAGCAAAATAGATTTTTTCTTCAATTTGTTTTCTATTATATAACTTATTGTAACATTCTTAACCAATGAAAAAAGAAATGTTTACACCAGATTCATGTTTCCCACTTCTATTACTTTTACTGAACTGGCTTGTTGGAAGCGTATTCAAGCCTGTAAAATATTTCCTAAATATTCTAAAGATGTTTACAAACGCATTAATAAATAGTTATGTAAATAATATTCCATGAACATTTTATCAAAACTTTCAAAAAACACCATCATTCGAGATTAACAGATCAACATCGTTTAAATTTGATTAAGCTGTTCATGTAATTTTATTGACTGTAAGCTGATTTAATAATATTTAAACACAGTGAAATGAGGTATCAGCCATGCTGTATGGAATATCCAAAAATAATGTTGGAATTTAGGTAATAGGAAAAATAACAAAAGTAGTCCCTCTAGTGTCACCCACCTTATATCTACTATCTATAGATACTTTTGCTACATATTTCAGAGCAATTAAAATTCTTAAATAAGGAAATCTGAAATATCTACTACCCAATACATGTCCTCTGGTTTCAGCACTAGGTTATAGACCCAGTGGAAGCCAACAGAAATCAAGAGAAGAAAAAATATTGATAGCCAAATTCTAATTCTTGTTTCAAAAATTGTAATTAATATTTACCTTTACATGTTGGAAAATTAGGGGACCATCCAAAGTGGTAGCACTGAACTGAATCTGGTCCAACTCTGAAACGGTCCAGTCTGCAGAATAATTTCACCACATCTCCAATTTTATACTTGTTTTTGGAAGGCCGAACAGTTAAATAATCATCTAGTTTGGGAATTTTACATTCTGTTTCTATAAGAAAAGGTGAAGTAATTTACTGAAACTATCACTGCCCAAATAAATCTTATGTATGTCATGAAGTGCCAGGTGCTGCATATACAGAGGCGCATCAGATAAATCCTCCCGGTAAATTCATGTGAAATTCTCTATGAAATATTGAAATATTGCACATCAATATATGTGTCCTGTAAATTTATTTGTAAGTTCAATTTGCTTATAATGTGTTGATTTTATAACTGATATTTATAATATTTAGTGTTATATTTTGGTACTCTAAAGAATACAAGTATGTTGTCATATTAAAAGATAATGATAGAGGTTTAAAATTGAACACAAATAAAAATTAGTATTTGTTTCATATTATTGGGGAACTGGAAAACACCAAAGCCATTTCCTATATAGTTAGAGAAACATTAAAAATCACTTCATTAAGGGCCTTCCCAGTGGCCCTTATTTGGAATCCTATCTGGAGAATAAATTTATAAAATTATTATAAAAAGAACTGGTATTCAAAATTTAGAATCATGCTAAAAAGAAAATTCATGCTATGTAAGAGTCAACTATTGGACAAACTTATAATATTAGAAGGTAAATGTTTTTTAAAATAATGACACAAATAAAACTCAACGAATTTGATTTAGGTTTGATGTTGAGTTTTGAAAATTAATTGAGATATTCACATCTTGAATGAGATGCAGTGGGATTTCTTTCCTAAAATTCTGTCCTGTGTTCTGCAAAACAGTGCCTTTATTTGTTGTGTCTTTGTTTATACATTTTGTGCTCATTTTATGTGAATTTTGTATCTTATCACATTGCAAAAAACTTTGTCTTAACAACAGCAACAAAGAGATCTCAGCTGTTGGTGATTTTTCAACTGTTGTATTTATCTAAAGATGTTTTAAGGAATGTGATTTAAAGGAGTAATTGAATGAGCATTGTTTCCCTGAATGGGCAATATTTATCTTTATTCAGCAGTGAAAATCCCAAATCCTAACACTAATATAGTAAGTCTTCACTTAAATATCTTCAATAGCTGCTTGGGAACTGTTACTTTAAGCAAAACAATGTATAACCAAAGCAGGTTTTTGAATGATCTGCTTTTGATTCCTGTCAGCCTAATTGTGTTGTTCTCATTAACTTTTTAAGGAAGGACATTGAACAAAATGATGTATTCAAAGAGCTGCTATACTTGGAAATGTTAATATGAATTTTTTTAATCCAAAGTTTATGTGCATTTAAAGGTTCAATAGACATGGTTTGACTTAAGGGGTTTTTGATAACAATTCCTTGGGAAAAGTTCTAAAAACAGGAATCCCGGAGCAATTGCAATAAATTCAAGTATCAGTCTGTGTGCAATTTTCTGCTACATGGTTAAGGAAGTTGTTTTTAAAAATTACTAAACTCTTATGTCGCCATTCAACTTCTGGAGTCCCACATTGTGTTGTTGAATCCTACCAATGTGCCACATGATTATAAAAATATAAATAAATATATAATTTTAGACAAACATATTTGTAATAGAAAGCCATAGTGGACACATTAATCACTCCAGCTTCAATATCCTCTCCATGTTTTCCTGGAATTGCAATATTAGCAGTACCATGGAAATTGTATGTTCACGATTTTGTATTCTTTCTTTAAAAAGGGCACCTCAAATATACAAAAGCTTCTGTGTTCATAATGTATGATCTGCCCAGAAAAGAAAATCATGATTATCTTAAAAGCTTCCCTTTTACTTAGAATAAAGCCCAAACTCTACTGAACCATTCCTTGCCTACACTTGCAAAGCCAACTTACCTCCCTCTCCCAAGTCAATCCAGACTCCAGGCTTATGATCTTTGAATTTTTAAAATAGGTGAATTTTTTTTGCTGCTTCAGATGTTGCCTATGTCCCTATTTCTATGCCAAATGCTTTTCAGGCTTTCTTTGTATAGATATCTTCCTATATAAGACAGTGCTCTCAATCCCTTCCCCTTTACCATTCAGTATGTTCTCATGACTCTCATCTTTTTTTGTTTTTCATATTCCTTTCACCACATAATTTCTTCTAGTAATAACTTGAACTTTCTGTTCTTTCACTTAACCAAACTTCTTGAAAGCTATATACCACATGTTAAATTTTCCTAGTAATGGTTTTTCTTCAGAGGGACTATGTAGATTCTGCTCTTTTTTTTTAATTTTTTTTTTTTTGCTTTCTCTACGTCTTTGAAACTGTTTCTGTTGTGGCTACTCTAGGTAGTCAGAGCCAACAATTTTTTTAAAAACTGTTTTCTAACATGACATATCAACTGAATTAGAAATATTTACCACTTCAACTATCATAAGATGTAATTAGATTACAATTTCTTGGGTTTTGTAAAACAGGCATGATGGCAAGAACTTTGTAATGGCAATGCAGTGTAATAGCCAAAGCAATCCTTTGAATTATTAGAGACTTCATGAATATTAAAATATTTTACAGATAAGAAGGCATGAATAAACTCCAGATAGTCTTGGTTGTTGCCCTAACTTGTATCCTTAGTTAAGTTCTGAATTGGACTTGGAACCCATCTAGATTGATTCCACAGGCTTTACCATTATTCAATCTATCATGATCATTTTCCATCAATCATTTTCTCCTTTCCATATCTGTAACAACATTCTTTCTATCTTTTTTCCTCCTGATTCGCTGGGTTCTCCTTTTTCTAACTATGTTGTTGCCATTTCTCTTTTGTCTCACATCTAAATGTTAGAATGATCTTTGATCTGTCATGAATTCTCCTCTTTCTTCATTCTGCATTACCTTCCTATCTGATGTAATTGCTTTTTTGATGATAACCCCAACTATATATCTCCTGGCTACAACTGTTTGTTCAACTCTGTCGTTTAAGATCCAATTTAAAATGTCTGTGGGTAACTCAACCATAATGTGCCCACAGCAAAAGTAGTGATGTTCCTCCCCAAATCTTTTCTCTTCTGCCAGCACCACCTTTCAGAAAGGCATGCCTATTTAACTACTTGCTTAAAAAAAAAGTTCAAAAAAAATTGAACATACTTGGGAGTGCTGTGACTCTTACTCTTTCTTTCGCTTAATAGTTAGTAACATTTACTATGTTTTCTAGCACCAAAATATATCCCAAATCGGTCCTTTATTCTGTATTTCCTCAGCCACTACCCTATGCACTTTTTATCTCTTCTTACCATAAATGGACTCCAGAATCTTTTCTTGCCAAGCACAAGCACAGGGAAAAGGTAAGTTCAAATATACAAATTCCTATTTTAAACCCCTTTATGATGTTTTACTAATCATAACATTAATACATATACTATATTTCCTTGCCATTATTCCGTTGTATTCCACCCATTCTTTGCTTAAAAAATCCCTCACATGCTGACTAGAATTGGCTCACCCTGAAATTTCCCAGATATTGTTTGGTTTTCAAAGCTTTGCTCATACTGTTCCCTTGATTTGGAACACTACATATGCTTAATTTCCACAATTCAAACCCTGTTTCTAACCGTGGAAAACAGGTGAATGGCAAACAAAGTAGATTTGTGGTTTAGTCCACAGAACATGATAAAACCAGAAAATCAAGAGCTTCTCTCAGGACCTGCAGGAACTCAGGAGCAAAAAAGCTGAGAAGTTGATAAGAAGCTATAATTTTGCTTGTGAGTGGCCAGTTTTATATAATTTGAAAGCTAGCATTTAGAATGACCTAGACAATTATACTATATTCATAAATCCATCATGTATATGGCCCATAGAAAACATCATTTTAACACACACTGTTAAAGATAATTATCTTTGGACATTAAAACAACCTCATTTATCAGTTAATAACAACCAGCAAGTGACACCTTGATGTTAATCATTGTCCCTAAAAAATGACTCTAATTATCAATTTTACTAATTCTGAAAAAAGGAATACACCAAATATAGCACTTACCATGGCATGTAGGTTTTTCAGACCAACCATTGTCACCACATATTATGGAGCCAGTGGTGCCTCCATCTCTGTTCTCATATCCCTTGTCACATTCATATTCCACTTTGTCATTGAGTTTAAACCATCTGCTATCGTTTTTGGGTCTGGCATGCTCGAATACTGGCATATCACATGATTCTAATGCATGATAGAATTAATATTCCATTTCTGATATTATTTAATTGTCAATCTAATTGAGTAAATCCCATCCCAAAGAAAATGATGTTTTCAAAGAGTATGCTAATATCAAAGAGTATACTAATTATATAAAAATAAGCTATGTCAATGATAAATCACTGTTCTAAAGCTTACCCACAGTGAAAAAAAACAGTTTCTACATTTAAATTCTCTGAAAAGTTTATGTTAAGAACATTTTTATCAATTATATTTCTGCCTTTATGCCATGAGAGAACAAAATAGACCATTACAGATATATTGTTCTTATTATTACTAAACAGAATAGCATTTTGTGAATGAAGATGTCAAACTTAGTAACAGTTGTGACAACTATACCAGCGAAAAATAGATTAATTGCAAAAAGATTAATTTTCAGTAATATGAGTAAATTGTTAAACATTCTATAAAGCTGTTTACTGGAAAAATATTAACTTTAAGGCATAAGTCTGATTTAATATTCTCAAATATTTTCCTAATGTCTTTGTATTCTTCAGTAATTATCAAGATTGAATGTAGAGTTCTATTGTTCATAACTAGATGTAAGAAAAATAAAGTATTTAAATATAGTTTCAATGTTCACTAAATGCTGCACTACAATAATATTAATAAAATATTTAATATTCCCCAATTTTATAATTTCTATAGACAGCTATCTTAAAGCTGCTAAGAAATAAAGCAAAATTATACTAATTAGGTAAATAGAGATATTTTCTGTTCCGTAAAAAGAGTGTTATAATGGATAATTAATCACAATTTAATGTGAGATGAGTTTGAACTAGGGGCAACTATATCACATATCTCTTTGACTAGGATCATAAAGCATAGAAATTGTCAAAAAATGGTAATGGAAGGAAAACAGGAGAAATGTGTGTCTTAAATATCCACTACAGTAAAGTGACTATATTAAATATCACTTTTAAAATGTCATTGAATGACTTTGGGGTTAATAAAAGAGAGCAAGTTCTTAGAAAAATCTTCTTAAATGTCTAGATAGTGGAAAAGGAGAACCTTGAAGCAGAACGTATTTTGGTGCTGTCTAGAAGTATTTCTCTTTCTCCATAACTACGTAACTACAAGGAATTTATGAAAATTTTCTAGAGGATTTTTTAAAATGGGCCTACCCTATAATATCAAACTTCTACATTATACAAGTTATTTTATTCTAAGATCATGCATTGTGCACCCATATGTTCACATACAAGTTTACATTTTATGCCTAAAAACAGAGACTCTCATATAAAAGTTGGATTACCTAGAAAAAAGGTACAGTAGGGACAGAAATCTCAGGTGTAATAATTGAGCTTACACCTGTATACACATGAGTGCCCCTAAGGATATTTTAAAGTGCAAAAAACTTGACCTAAAAAAGTGGATAGGCATTTTACTCTTCTGTTAATTAATCTTAAATGGCAAAATGTTATGTATTTTTTCAGTTATTTTTATTTATCTTTTCAAATAGAGCCATACAGGCAACCCCACCCCAAATAGTTAAGTTAAAATAAACTTTCTACAGTATCATTTTGGTGATGAGCAATAACAATTAATTACTTACTAATGCATCTAGGTTGAGCTGACCATCCGCTTTTCATACATTTAATTGATCCTGATATTTTACCATCTTCTGTTAAATATCCTGGTTTACACTTATATTGTGTTTCCTTATGTAAGGCATATGTAGTATCAGGTTCAGAAATAAAACCATTCTCAATTTCTAAATCTCGTTTTGAGCATGTTTCTAAAAGGGATAAAGCATATGGAAAAGGTAAGAATATGTTCAAAAAACATTTTCATAATGGTTCAAATAGTATTACAACATAAAAATTAAGAAGTCATTCCTGTTCAAGTCCTTGTGTTTTTAAAAAATAAGCTGAATTTCCAAGATACAAAGCCAAGATATGTTATTCATTTCTTTTTGGGGCAAAGTAAATTTCAAATATTCAGAATCACTTCTAAGAAATTATACACAGGAGCACAAAAAGATTATCAGGCATCCAAAGGCAAAGTAATGAATCTAGATATACTCCTCATGTATTATATGAAAGTTGACACAAAATTGATCATGTATGCAAAAGCAAAATATAAACATCTAAAAGAATGGATGAAATTGGTTTAGGCAAAAAGGTTTTAATGTACACCAAAAGCCAGGATCCTTAGAGAAAATTTTAATACAGGGACTGGTATCAAAATTAAACTTTTGCTCTGTGAAAGACTAGTGAGAAAAATGAAAAGTAAAGCTACGTTGGAGGCAAATATTTGCCAATCATATACCCAATTGAAAGCCTTATAGCCAGAATATATAAATTAGTTTCACAAATACAGTAATAATGAAACAATTTAGTGAAAGAGTAGGGAAAGATTTCCAGTCCTAAAAACAAATATGTGTAACCAGAAAATAATGCTCAACAGCATTAGCTATTGAGCAATGAAATACCACAATGTACATGTTAACATAGCAATTGAAAGACACAAGAAACTGACTCTATCCAGTCTTAGCAAGGCTGAGGAATAGTTGGAGCACTTAGACATGGCATGTGTGAATGAAACATGACGATCAACCAAGACAAGTTTATCCGTTTCTTGTAAATTAAATATATACTTAGCATCCATCTAGCAATTCCAGACCTAGATAATTAATTACCCATGAAAAATGAATTTGTGGTCCTGCCTGGTTGCCTGCAGGTTAAGCCTCAGTGCTATCACAGCTGTGGCCTGAGGTTGATCCCCAGCCAGGGAACTAACCCACATATGGAGCAGCTGACTTCTGTCCTGCCCACTGCTCCCCTTAGCAGGGTTTTTCAGTAAATACACCCATCCTGCTTCCCACTTTGTATCTCTGGTGAATCCTCTAATACCCAGCACCTCTGGCCTACACCCCTGTTCTTCTACACAAAAATAAATTTAAAAATCTTTAAAAAAAAGAAGAAAACATGAATTTGTGTTCATACAAAAACCTATATGTGAATATTTTTTAGCAGTAACATTCACAAATGCCCCAAATTGGAAACTACCCAAATGTTTTCAATGAGTGAATGTACTAACCAAGTGTGGTACACAATACAATGGAACAAAACTCAGTAGTAAAAATAATTACGATTGGTATGTAACAACATGAATTACAGATTCAAAAGTAGACTAACCAGGGCCTTCCTAGTGGTGCAGCGGGTTGAGCGCAGTGCTGCGAAGCTGTCCACAGCCTCCTCAGGGCTGGTTCGATTCCCGGCCGGGCAGGGAGAATCCCACATCGCGTGGCAGACCTGTCCTATCTGTCCCACTGCTCCCCTCAGCAGTGCTTTCGGTCCATCTACCTGTTCTGCTCCCCGCTCCGTCTCTGGTGAATCACCCTCCCGTGACTCTGTCCTGTACCCTAGCTCTTGTATAAATAAATAATAAATGTTTAAAAAAAAAAAACAAACAAACTAGACTAACCAGATAACACAGTGTGTGTTAGACCTCCATCATTTGGGATCAAACGTAAAACTATTGTTTTCTTTTGGGGACATCTTATTTCATTAACACTTCATGTTTTTTTTTTTTTTAAGTTTTTAATTAGTTTCCTTGTGTTTGAAGTAGTCACTTCCTCTAGTCTTTACTGACCAACATTGGCAGAGAAATACCTCTGTGAAAACTGTTAAGGATTCAAAGACTTTTTCTGGGACCCTGTTTATGGATATACCTGTTCATCATGTGTTACTCTCACTAGGAAGGGAATTCTTAAATTGCCTGCCTTTTGTCACTCTTGCAGAGTCAGTCTGGCAGCTGACACTTTCCTGTTTGCTTGTCCTGAAACCATGCTGAATGCTGAAGCCTGTGTTTTGTTCCCATTCCTGAGTCAAGTGAGCTTTCTTGTACTCACTAGCCATCTGTAAAGACAACATTTTGACATGTGCACAGCGGCCTGCCCATGGTGTGGGTTGGGGCGAGGTGTGCAGAGAATCGGGGTGCCTGTGGGTGAGCAGGATCTGTAGCACAGCTCCCCCATGGCTAGTGGACAGGCTTCCTAGTAAAGGAAGGTTGCCCGAGCTTGGTAGGAGTTCTGTCCCTTTATGAATTCGGAGGCCTGGATGCTCTGTTCCAAGTTTCTCTCACCGCTTTGTGCTACTGCTGATCTCTCTATTGTGGGCTATTGTGGATGTGGTGAGAAAGAAGGGGGCCTTTTTCTAAATGTCAAGCACAGCCTAGGAAGCTGGACACTCACTCATATTTTTTCTTTTCTCCACTGGGAAACCATGGACTGAGTGCATCCTCTTGGCTGTGCCTCTTTAGGGGAGGGGTGGGGTGATACAAGTTAAGTGAAACTGTTACTGTCATCCCCTCCAGTGCAGCCAATCTGGAACCAGTTTGTTTCAACAATGTGCTGAAACTTCTTTGCTAGAGTTCCAGATTCCCACAAAGATACTCTTCTTCACAGGTAATTGTCAAAAACAGTGCCTTTTGTGGAGAAGATGGTAGAAACTCCTTTACGTCCTTCTTGCTGATATCACTCTCTTTTTACAAGTTTTGTCCGTGGATCTTTTACTGTCTTCTTGACTCTGTCTATCAATAGCACATTAATTTTGCTGTGTACTTATCAAGAGATTGCTGTGTCGACTCATACACACTTGAAAAGAGTAAAACCAAATAGATCCATTGGCAAAACAGAAGTTAATTGAAACTTTTTGCTGCAGTTAAGATACACAAGTCTTGGGAAATCATCAACATACTGGGTTCTTAGACACCTGTACTTACTGACTTTAATGCATCTGGAAGGAGGGGACCAGTTATTCTCTGTACATGTCATTGTATTCTGCTCATCCTCAAGACTGTAGCCAGGAAGGCATTCAACACGTATAGATTCACCCTGTAAATACCATCTTGGTCTCAATGGATAGTTTCCATTTTCCAAATAATTGAAAATACATTTTCCTAAGGATCGCAAAAAAGATAAATGAAAATGAAGAGGCCCATATGTTTGATTAAAGTAGAAAACTAAAAATATATTTACAATGCCTAATTGACAATACAGTAACTTAAAAAACCCATTAATGCTTCTGCCAAATGTTTGTTTAAAAAGATTAATTCAATATATGAAGTTATTTATCTTGTTTTTTAATTGCTAAAATGAATGTGAATTATGTAGATATTTATATAAAATCCCTAGTTTTATTTCTCATGTAATTTTCATGAATAGCTTCTCTTAAAATCAAGGGCATATGTTGTTTTTTTTTTTTTTTGGCTCCTAGCATTTATCTCTTAGCCTTATTTTTGTCAGAGAAGCCTTAAGTGTACTCTCTTTTTTGTCTCCATCTTTTGAAAGATTTATGAACACAATTTTAAAGATGTTTACTTACTGAGGCATGGCAGTGCTGGCTCCCATCCTTCTGGTTTGCAAGTAATTGTACCCCAAAATTGTTGTGAAGGGGTCACAAAATTTTCATCACAGCCATAGTAGTAATAACGTCCTATGGATACTGGAAAGTATGGTCTATAATATGCTTCATTATGTAGATGTCCGTGTTTAATTTCTGGAAAATTACAGGGCTTCACTTGCAATAAGAAAAAAAAAACATAAATCATGTTTTACCCCAATAAAAAATTAGAAATTGTTTTCTCTATGAATTTTCTTATTTGCATAATTACACTTATTGCATTGGGACTGTAGGTCAAAAGTGTTCAAAATGATTGAGGTGAATGTGGAGGCCCTTGGGGGTAATGATAAAATTATGTGTGTATGTCTTATGATGTATAAACTTATATAAAATATGTACAGAACTTTTTAATGTAATCTCCGTAAGAGCATATATAGTGTGTTGTTTGATTAAATAAGCACCTTGGTTGGGAAATGAAGATACTGATTTTATCACTCATTATATTTATTTTATTAATTAACTTTTAATTGAATTGATATTTGAATACCCCTATCTGGCATTGCCACTGTAGTACGCACACCACCAAATCACTAAAATAGTCCATTGAGCTCCCTTCCCTCTATCTTCTCTTCCCCCCAGCCCTCCCCCACCATTGCTCCCCCCATGAATGTTTCCGTTTTATAGTCAGCTTTCAAGAGTTAGTTTTTAAGGTTGTGTTTACCTGACCCTTGATTTAGTTACTATTATTCCACATATTAGTGACACCATCCCGTATTTATCTTTCTTGTATTAACTTATTTCACTAAGCATTATCCCTTCTAGTTCTATCCATATTGCCGCAAATGGCATGAGTTTAACTGCTTTGATCACTGAGTAATATTCCATTGTGTGTACACATATATACATGTATATATATGTATTTAATAACCCATATCTCCTTGATTCAGTCATCTGTTTTTGGGCACTTAGTTTGTTTCCATAATTTGGCTATGGTAAATAGTGCTGCAATAAACACGAGTGCATGTTTCCTTTTGAAGTAGTGCGTTTGAATTTTTTTCAGTAGTTACCTGAAAGTGGAATTACTGGGCGGTGTAACTGATCCATTTTTAATGTTTTGAGACATTCCCACACTGCTTTCCATAAGGGCTGGACCGGTCTGCATTCCCAGCACCAGTGCAAGAGAGTTCCCTTTTCTACACTTTCTCACCAGCACTTGTTTCGGTATTTTCAACGTGGGTCCTACTCACAGGTGCAAGATGGTATCTCACTGTGGTCTTGAATTGCATAGAGCACATCAAGATGCCACAGAATAAAACTAATCAAAACAATCAGTTTAGCAAAGTGGCAGGGTATAAAATCAACTCAAAAATCAGTTGCCCTCCTATATACAAACAATGAGATAGAGAAGTTAAGAAAGTGACCCTATTTACAATCATAACAAAAAAAATTAAATACCTAGGAGTAACCTAACACAAGAGCTAAAAGATTTATACAAAGAAAACTCTTATACATTGTTAAAAGAAATAGAAGACCCAAAGAAATGGAAAAATATTCCCTGCTCATGGATTTGAAGAATCAATAGTGTCAAAATGGTCATCCTACCCAAAGCAATATACAGATTCAGTGCAATCCCAATGAAAATATTAATAACATTGTTCAAATAACTGGAAGAAACACTACTGAAATTCATATGGAATTACAAAGACCCTGAATAACAGAAGCAATTCTGACAAAAAAGAAAGAATGGAGTTATCATATTTCCAGACTTCAATATATATTATTAAACCATAATAATTAAAACAGTCTAGTACTAAACCAAAAACAGACACACAGACCAATGGGATAGAATTGAGAGCCCTGAAATAAACCCCACCCCCATATGGGCAGTTAATCTGTGATGAAGGAGCCAAGAACATGCACTCATTTTATCTTCATTTCCATTCCCATTGGAATCAGATCCCTGACTTTTTTTCCCCTGGATCAAGTCAATATAGGGAGATAGTGAGGTCTTTCTTGATCAACATTCATTATTTTTCTATTTATCAAGAACAATTTTAAAATACAGAAAAGCATATTTTCCATTGATCACATCATAGAGAAAAATACTATTATTCAAACTTCAAAGCAGCTATTGCAGGAAGTTTTGCTATAGTTAACCAGAGAAAAGGACATGAAATATTTCTTATTAAGCATATTGTTAAGATTTTCATAGGCATTTCTAAATACCTAAAAATTTAATTGGAGATGAGGTATTTTTAATGTCATAAATATTTGTAAAGAGGTACAATACCTATCATTTTGAGTACTTGCTATATATTGAATAATTTGTAGTGTATATTTAAGTGATGTACTGTATGAACAACTTTACATATATTTTCAGAAATATTTGCCTTTTCATGGTATGATTTATTTATACTTCAGCAATTTTAATATCAGTGTAGTGTTAGTGTTTCTATGAAAGATGTTATGAGAAACTATACAACGCTTTAGAAATGTTTCCACACATATACACAAAGTGCTCCCTATCATCTTCATTCCTTAAATTCCCTTCTCTATTTTTTTTGTTTGAATCAAGAAAATTTTCAGGTAGTTTCTACCTACTTTTCATCTGGATTATAAACTTTGAATCCTTGCATATACTGATGCCTTTCTTTAACAAAGATTTGTTTATGATGCTGTTTTTGTATATAGATTTTTGGCCAGTGGTCCATAACTTTCATTCTTGATACTTTTGCTCACTTTTTGAAACTTCAAGTGTTGAATTAAAATGTTCACTTAGTCTCATTCCTTTTGAGTAACATTCTAATTTTTTTTGCCTCACTTTTTTGAGATTGAGGTTATTTTCTCTTCATCCTCAATTTTACCAATATTTATCTTGGCCATGTTTAAATATTTGGATTTACAGAAACCATTCTTAAAGAACTCAATAAAATTTGCATGAAACTGTGAAGGAGGAATTTGAACTCTGGAGGTCTGATTTCAGAACAAGTATGGCTCCCCACTTCCAGTGGTGATTCATAGGATATGAATAAAATAAAGAAGACCCTGAGATTTCTTTTAAAAGGTGCAGGAAGGGGCCATCATTTAAAGTATTATCATTGCAAAATGAATCACTGCTATTTTTCTCTTTCTTTTGGTACATTCAAATCTTTATCCTCTAGTGAGATCAGCCCTGAGGCAAATACAGCATTTCATAAGTGGTCGGAATAACACTGAGCTTAGCAAGATTTAAAACAGCCTCATTCTCCCTCTAGGCTTGTGGTCTCATTAGCAGTTATGGGGCTCCATCAATGTTTTAACTCAAATTGATCACAAAATTGATTAAAATATTTACTAGATTTTAGAGCTGTTTCTAGTACTTGTGTAATTGATTCCTCAAATGCAAGCCCAGGATCTTATGGTTACTACTGCTAAATGTCATATTGCTAGATTTAGCCTTAAACTCAAGATTCTATTTGAATGATGAATCTGTCCTACTGAAGATTCACTATCATCACCTCCTGTATCAATTAGTTTGTATGGCATTCCCTCTAAACTCTAAAACTGTTTGGTGACACAAATGAATAATAGAGTTGGTCTGAGAACATCGACCTGCATCTGGGAACAACATCAGTTTATTTAATTTTTATTCTAAACTATGTGATCAACCATCTGACTTGTCAATTTCCCAACTAAAATGCAAGAACTTCATCAGTTCCTTGTGGAATAATTTGGCTGAGATGGAAATACCACTGGGCTCATCTACCATTTTCATAAATTAACAATAAATCATAAATATTTATTTTATAATTGTTAGCACATTGAAGTCTTATTTCATGCTGATATCAGTTTTCTCTTTGAGGGAACTTATGCTTTGAAAACTCCTTTTGGACTTAACACTAGAATTAACTTTGAAGTCATTAATGCCTATTATATGTAGCATTACATTTTCCGTCATGGAATATCCATTTTAATTGTGGTGCATCTTCACAACAAACTGTGAAATATAAAGATAAGGAATATGATTGCAGAGGTGGAAAATATTTGAAAAAAGACAGAGGGAGCATATCCCCAAATCAAATATTCTGTCAAATTTTATGGATTTTGCTGAAAATGATAGTTTTAGGAAATTGTACAACCTCTTTAGCACTCATTCTTCAAAAAAAATGGAGCTTAATTCCCCTCCTCTGTGTGTGTCTGGACTTAGTGAGTCACTTTTAAAGAACAAATATGTTGGGGCCTCCCTAGTGGCACAGGGGTTAAATCTTAGCACAATGAATCTAGCATCAGCCACTGTGGCATGAGTTCCATCCCTGGCCAGGGAGCTAACCCACATGGCACAGCCGACCTTTCCTGTCTCGCCAGCTGCTCCCCTCAGCAGCGTATTTCAGTAGATCTGCCTGTTCTGCTCCCAACTCTGTCTCTGGTGAATCCTGTTACTTCCTGCACCTCTGACCTACACCTCAGTTCTTGTTTGCATAAATAAATAAAAACTAATCTTTGAAAAAAAAAAAGAACGAATATGACTGAACCACCAATGTGTGTCCAGGTATAGATGGTATGGAGGCTTCCTACTCTGAGATCACTAGGTCTGGAGAGTCAGTGCCCTTTAAGCAACCTGTGGAGAGTCCAGGTGGGCAAGTACTGATGATTTCTCTTATGTCATGTAATCTCCAGAGCAGGCCCTAGGCTGGGCTGACCGCAGCCTAGCTAACATCCTGACTGCAAGACGGAGACTGATTCAGAGCTAGCCTGCTCAGCCACTCCCAAATTCCTGACCTTTAGAATCTCAGAGATGATAATGGTTTATGTTTTTAAGTCAATATGCTTTGGAAAAAAATTGTTATATAGCAGTAAATAACAAGTGTCTAGATTGTAGATGCTACTACTATTACCTGGTGTTTAGCTCAGATATTAGAATTTTATTAGTTTGAGAACTATGTATTTATATACATATATTTAACATTGACTAGCCAAAAAAATAAAAAGATTTACATTTATAAAGTATTTTTGATCCTATAAAGAATTGGTTACTTTGAAAATCAAAGAAGCTTCTTGTTATATATACAATATGACAAATATTTTGATTAATTGTATCCACATTTCTGTGCTTAATTGAATTAAGAAGTAAATCAGGCTATGAATGGAACCCACAGTTACACCTTGGAGCAGGTACCCAGCCTGTAACAGTGCATTTTACTTTATTTTCCCAGGTTGCATATAAAAGCCAACTTTACATTCATATGTGATTTCATCTTCAGTTCTGTATTTGGTCTTTACAGGTTTGTAGACAGCATTTGGAATATAAGGCTTATTACATGTTACTTCTGAAAAAAAAAATGTGTGGATAATGTAGGAATGACTACCCATTAAAATAAGCAAGTACATGAAAACAAAGAGAGTGGGTATTATTTTTCTTTCCGATCACAGCACAAAATGGGAATAAAATGAGCATAGCATCATATTCTTTTTTTCTTTTCTTTTACACCATTGTTCATTTTGAAACAATATTTGTTTCCCACTCCCCCATCAGGTGTAGTCCCCCATAGACTTTCCTCCACCAGTCCACCCGTGCACCATCAGCACAGTCCCCTGTGCTCCTCCCTCCGTCCCTCTGAACATCATATTCTCACTGTATCACTCATATCCCCACATATCTCTCATATAATATATTTATGTCCCCTGGACTCTTGATTTCTCCAAAGTCATCACCTATTTCATGATACTCCACTTGGGGCCTATGAGTTCAGTGTATATTATGTTAGCATTCTTTCCACTTTAAGCTTCTTGGCTTCTGAAGTTCTCATGTAGATTTTTATAAATATTCTGAATTTTTTCCTTCCAGACTCTTGGTAGGATCACTTGTCCCTGGCCAACTGAAGTAGGCATGCCATAGACCAAGTGAAATCGCTATTTCCACTCTCCCATCTGTTAGTTATTCTTCAGTCTACTGCTAACTGGCTTCTAATATCTACTCTGTGTTGGCACTGCTCTGACTAAAGACCCCCAGTTTCCAAATCCCCAAATTCCTTGTATTTGATATATTGCAGTGACTAGTGTCTATTATGGGCTTCTTCATTATGTGTTGTACTGGACAGATAAAACCCTCTGTCATCTTCAACATTGTTGGCCACTGGCTTTTTCAAGTTCTCCTGTGCCTTACATTCTATAATAAAATGATTATATAACAGCATTCATTTCAGTTATTTCTGTCCAGGAGGAAGTTAGAGGTAACCACGTGGCCATCATTAGAATATTGGATAAGTAAAACATATGCACACTATGCAGTCCTTAAACAACAGCAAACTAGATTCAGCAACATGGAGCTGAATAGCGATAAGGCAGTAAAATCTCTGGTCATCTTTCATCTATGAAAAACATGTAAATGAGACATAATTAACAGAAGGGTTTAAATATTTAAAAATATATCAAATGCACATCCCAGTTTGGTTTAGGGGAACATAATCCAGAATCCCCTTTATCAGGGATAAAGGGGTAAATATATACATAAAGGAAAAGTAGCACCCTTCATAGGCCAATCCTCTGACGTGACAAGTACAATTGACTTCACCGTTGCCCAAGACACCCAGTAGGGGTGGGCAAAAGCATATGAGATCATAGCCTCTGTCTTTAAGCAACTGAATATTTTGTGGACCAAACTTACAACCATATAATTAGAAAATTAGGTTGATTATTTCAGTGTCTTCATGAGATACAATAATTATATCAGGTGGTTTCCCCCTATTTAGATAGAAAAAGAAAACCAAAAAAACTATGTAAATATTACCTTATTGTATAATTAGATGCATTAAATAAAGTGAATTCATGTATCTCACTTTCATCACTTTAATTATAGCTTATCTTTTTTTTTTTCAGTAGAAAATTTGTGGTAAACTGTCAGCTAAAAGTCAAGTATAATCTGGAGGATATTTTCTTTGAACAAATTCCCGAAGGTGTCTATTTTTCCAAGTAATTTTGCTTTGTTTCCGACATCTATGGACATTTCATAGCCTGACTGGTTTCTTGTCCCTATAAACTAATAATGCTCATCACTGTCCTCCCATACTCATCAACTGTCTGCCTCATGTTCACAGTAACTCACACTCGAGGCTGTGTGGTTATGAATATTTTTTTAAGAGTCCGCAGGTTTTGGTTTGTCTGGACAGTCCTGCTTCAATGTGTTGGCCACATATTTATTAATAGAGCCTCCTTTCACCTCCAAAGTGTCCTCATTTGCGTAGTCAATTATATAGTCCTCCTACTTATTACAACTTCATGACTTCAATCAATGAATAAAGCATTAGGATAAAAATCAAATTTTTTTTGACAGTTGATAATCTTGCTGAAAATTTACAGTTACTTCTTATTTTTCAAATTTTCCACTTTAAGTTCTTACTTTATGTAAACAGACTTAAAATTGCCCAACTTTTTCGTGCTAGGAGTGGCTTCCAGTGAGCAATTGGAATTAAGGTTAACGCATTAATTCCAAAGAACACCTGCACCCCTATGTTTATAGCAGCATTATTTACAATAGCTAAGCTTTGGAAACAACCCAAATGCCCAAAAATAGATGACTGGATCAAGAAGATGTGATACATATACATAATGGAATATCACTCAGCATTCAAAAAAGATAAACACATGCAATTTGCAGCAATATGGCTGGAGCTGGAAGGGATCATGCTCAGCGAAATAAGCCAGAGAGAAAATGAAAAATACCAGATGGTCTCACTCTAGCAGGAATCTAGAAAACCTAAATAAGGGACCAGGAAAAAGAATAGCTACAAGAAAGAAAAAATCAAAATCAACAAACAACTATGAACCAGAGACACACGGGGGGGGGGGGGGGAAGGGGCGAGGCAGGCGGGGAAAGTAGGGATGGGGTCAAAATAAGGTGGTTGCAATTGCATGTGGATTGTAAAAATAAAATTTAAAAAACAATGAAGATTAACATATAACTTCTAAATGATCATACCCTTAAGGTATTTAGATACTGTTCTTCTATCCCCCCAAATCTAGATATGCAAAGGGTGTATTGTCCTATGTTACTAGAAGAATACTTTGCTAGTTTTGCCCAAAGGGAAATATCTAAGTATTAAAATTATAAGAAATATTTTTTAGTAAAATTGATGTTCCCAACTGAAAGCATATATTAAAAATCCAAATTCAATTAATTTTAGGATTTCCTTTATATTTTTTAGATAATAAATAAGAGTAAGAATTATTTTTACTTTCTGCATTGAGTTCTCCTGATATGATTAACAAGATGATAAAAGCCAAGTCTTTTGACCTCATCTTCAATGGCATGCTTAATAAAGACTAACAATTTTAAAGCAGTAGGGGTTCCTCATTAATTACACAACACTTCTCTTGAAGAAAAAGTTAATTATTTACATCTGTCTAAGTCTCTTTGTCACAAGCTGTATATTTCATTCAAAATATTTTTGAATAGTATTAACTTAACAAAATTATGTTAACTTACAATATTGATCATGCCAGAGGTAAATAGAAAATTGATAACCCAAAAGGGCAGAAGCATAATAATTAACTCAAACTACATGAAAGGAGTAACATTTTAACTCTAATTTTCAATTGTAAGTCCATAGAGTAAAGTTCACTTGTGGTCATTGATTTCTTTACCACTATTGATCAAATGAAAAGATGAACTTGGGAACATGAGATAATGGATAACTGTTGTTAAAATAAGACCAGGTCCATTAAATCAAACCTCTTGATTCTGACAACAGGATGGTGGTTACCAGAAGGGAAGGAGATGGGGGAAAATGAATAAAGGGGGGTCAACTGTATGGTGGTGGACATTTTTGATGGGTTTACAATGTAGCATATACAGATGTCACATTACAATGTTGTACACCTGAAAACTATATAATGATATGAACCAATATCATATATACATATATTTAGATATGTATGTATATGGTGCTGTGTAGGTTGTACAAATTAAAGAGGACAACGAGCTTAAATGTCTCGAGTAATGACAGGATATTCGTAGTTATGTCTACCATTTAGTAGGTGCTCACTTGGAAGACAACCTACTCCCACTCAATAAACTTCTTTTCATATATAAACCCATAAAATTGTCATTCTAACTATGTTGCATTTTACATAGTTCTTTTTTGCTTCTGGTTTTAATTATGTAGGTAGCAGGCTTTCCTCATTTAAAGCTCTTAAAGAGCCAAATTCCTTTTAGTTCAGATAATGAAATAAGACTAATGTTATTTAATTACTATACAAATTAACATACTTTTCTTGTTCATAACAAAATATGGTAAATCTATCAATTTTATTGTTTATACAGCAAATAAGTAGTAGATGAATATTGTTCTAGTAGGAAGAATAACACCTCTTTGTTTTCCAAATTTAGAGTTAAGATGCTCTTTTTTTTTTGGTTTATTTATTTATTTATACAAGCACTGGGTAGAGTCAGAAGTGCAGGAGGGTGAGAGAATTCACCAGAGCCAGAGCGGGGAGCAGAGCAGGCAGAAGGACCGAAGTACACTGCTGAGGGGAGCAGCTGGCGGCAGGAGAGGTCTGCGCTCCATGCCGGACCCTCGCCCTGTGGCCGAGGATCAAACCGGCCGTGGTTGCGGGCAGCTTTGCAACCCAGCGCTCAACCGCTGTGCCACTGGGGAGGCCCAAGATGCTCTTCTTTAAGACTAATAGAAAATGGTTATTTTCATCCTATTAAGGAAACCTATCAAGAAGGAGATGTAGTTCAATTTTTCTGCCATGAAAATAATTATCTAAGTGGATCAGATTTAATTCAGTGCTGTAACTTTGGTTGGTACCCAGAATCTCCTGTAGGTGAAGGTAATTTTTAAAATTTCTGAGACATAGAAAGAGATACCATGTTTTAATCTCTTTGAACTTTAAAAAATGTCTGTGGTGATATCTAATTCTTGTCTTCAGTACTATCTTTTAAAATAAATAACTATTGAGGGGAGCGCGTCCCCGGCACTGGCATTTTGCAGCAGGGACCTTTCTTGCTGGAGACTGTGTGAAACAAGCAGAAGGCTCACCGAGGAGCCAGAGGTAAGCTGGGAGGCTTGCCCATGCAGGGCGCTGCCGTGGACCACCACAGCAGTAGAAGATGAGGCCACCTCAGGGTTGAGAGAAGCGTGCAGGGTGGTCAGGGCGTCAGTGAAAGAAATGACAAACAGACACACTTCAAGAGTGAAAATCTGAGTGTAATTTTCTTTGAGTTTGTGACCAATATATATGTTTTCCAAAGGCACAGGGACAATGAACATCAATGAAATCAGCTTGCTCATGGGCTCAGTCTATCACCATCAGGGAGGTGATCTAC